TCTACCAGATGTTTGAGTATAGGGAGAGAATCACTGTACTCACAGGTAATGTGAAGAACTGTTGATCCATTAGAAGTCTTAGCTGCTACATTACACTGAGGAAGACTAGTGAGATAAAGTACAAGAGGAACATGACCTCTTTTACATGTTAAATGAAGAACTGTACTACCAGTATCAGTAGTAGTGGCATTAACATCACACTGATACTTGTTGATCAGTTCCTGTAGACAATGTAGCTTACCTCCATAAGCAGCTAAATGAGCTAGTGTGTACTTGTAATTGTTAGTGTGATTAGTAATATCCACACTATACTCCTGACTGTACCAGTCCAGTATATGAGTATGGTCAGCACTCCCCACTACTCCATGTAATGCTGTGAAACCATATTTATCAGTAGCTAAATGGTCAAGCTTGTACTGTTGTATTAGTAATTGTACTAGATCAAGATTACCTGAAAAACATGCAAATGTGACACATGTTTGATCACGTGTATTCTTAGCATTGACATCACACTTTATATCATTTATTAGAAATGTGACCAATTGAATATTACCACCCTCACAGGCTGAATGCAATGGTATCCTACCCTCATAGTTAGTAGAGTGTAGTAAGCTAATGTGTTGAGGATACTGACTGGTGATATGCTTGACAAAGTGAGTGTGACCTTTTAATGATGAGAAATGAATAACATTCCCACCTTTGCTATCTGTTAAGCACAGACTATGCTTGTAATCCTCCACGTATAATTCCAGTAGTAAAATATCACCAGATTCAGCAGCATAATGAATTGGTAGCTTACCATTACTGTCAGCTTGATGAGGATCTAACTGATAGGTAGTTATTAATTCTTTAACAAGACATAAGTTAAGAGACAGTGAGGCATAATGTAAAGCAGTGAGGCCATTCTTAGTCACTGCAGTAGAAGACAAACCTTGTTCAGTAATAAGATACTGAACTAAATCAAAGTCACCACTCCATGCAGCATGATGCACTAATGTGCGTCCTTCATTATCTGTTTTATTGATATCACTATGCTGCACCTCAATGAGATATTGAGTGATATCAATATGACCATTACGACAAGAATGATGAAGACATGCCATGCCATACTTATCTGTGATATTAGGATCACTATTATGATTAATAATAAGATATTTAACAGAATTAATACTGCCTGACCTGCAGGAGTAGACTAATGGTGTACAACTGTAAGTATCAGTATCATTAGCATTGAGATTATACTGAGATATGATATAACTTAATACACTAGTAGAACCTGACCAGGCAGCATAATTTACTGGAGACCTACCATTATAATCTAATGTACAATTGATATTATATTCTTCTAATGCTTTCACTAGTAATGTACTGTCACTGTGTGATGCATAATGAAGTAATGACCGACCATCATTAGTGGTGGCATTGATGTCAAAGTTAGGGCAAGTGCTAGCTTTCTTGAGAAGTGAAGAAAACAATTTAACTCTTTTATTTCTTTTAATAAAATCAATATTAGTTTTTATTTTAGTTCTATTAATAATATCAATATCTGATGCATCATTTTGTGCCTTAAGCTTACTATACACAATGCCAGCTGGAATATGTATAGCTGCATCACAAGCATAATGTAAACATGACTTACTATCAATATCATTAACTAATAATGCTTCCTTACCTTGAATACTAACAATATACTCAACAACTGATGATGAAGCAAACCATGAAGCATAATGAAGTGGAGTCCTGCCATATTGATCCTTTACATCAATGGGTAATTGATATCGATGTGAAAGATACTTAAGAAGCTCTACACTTTTATTATTCATAGAGCAACAAGTATAATGTATTATACCAGACCTCGACTTTGTTATGTCATCTGATAAGAAGAGGTTTAATGATTCAAGCTTGTGGACTAATGCTAGCTCTCCACTTTTACAAGCTAGCAATGATAAAGACTCATTATGAAAATTAATCTGAAAAGTATTGCAATTTCTCTCAATAAAAAATTCCACTAGGTTACAATGGCCCCCCATTGCTGAGTACAGTGATGCAGTGTTATTGCTATTGTCTGGTTGATCAGGAGGAACGTGACACGTGTCTACTAGATATTGTACTATAGATAAGTGGCCTTTATAAGATGCCATATGTATACTAGATACACTATTATCATCACCTTCATTAGGATCAATACCATATTGATGGATGAGTAGTTGAAGAATTTCAATATGTCCACCATATGATGCAGAGTGTAATGGAGTCCAACCATGAAGACTGCGATGATATGTGCTGTTATCAAACTTGTCAAGTAGCCATTGTACTTCATCTTTTAATCCTCTCCAAGCTGCTTCATGTAATGGTGTACTGGTATTCTCATACCATAATGGATCACATATATCTACAAATGAAGAATAATAATTAACACATGTATGCTGTTTGACCATTGCCCACAAGAGGGATTGACTAAAGGTCAGTTCATGTACTTACCAATATCAGTGGATGAGTGCTTAACCTCTTCTATTGAGAACTGTAAAATTAAAAATAATAAGATTAAATTGTCAATACAATAGTAACAAACCTCTCTTAGATCATATTTATCTTCACCACATGATAGTTCAGTGATACCAATACTAGCTAACTGTTGCTGTAGCTTTGTAGTTAGAGGAAATAATAAAGAATAAAGATACTCAGGAATGAAGTAGCCCAAACAGAGAGAGCCATCATAGACGAAACTGAAGTAAAGGTCATATTCAGGAATATCCAAACCTTTTGGTATTGCTCTACGAAAGAAGAATATGTCATCCAGTGTGTAGTCATCTCTGTCAACTTTAGCAATCATTATTCGTGTACCAGGAGGAACACCTTTTACACCAAACTGTACAGCATCAGCATCTTTCAATAGTCCACCACTGTTTATAAAATAATCTTTTAACTTTTTTTCATATGCTGACCATGCTCTCTTTAACGAAAGATTTTTTGGGTAGAAATACTCCAACAAGTTTTATCATTAGTTTATAGTTGAACCATGATATGTACTTGTACTGTAATAAAGTAAATAATTCTGATAATGTTTTGACGTTTTCAAACTCTTCTTTAACTGCTTGAGCAATTTCTTTTGCAATTGTTTTTTGTTTTTTGTTAGGACCAAGTAATGACATTGTGTGTGTAATAAGGTAGTCAATGATTTTAGGTATATCACTTGATTTGAAGGAATTCTTTGTTTTTCGAATTGCCTCATCAAATTCATCTTGTAGATCATATAACTTGCTAGTTAATTCAAAGCTCTTTTCAGAAGAACCATATTTGGACGTACCTATAATGATGAATAGTTGACTTTATTTGGGGCATTATTAGATGTAATTAATGATATGTTTGATGTATGCACTAAAAAATGAGGCAATGTTATTACGTGTTATTCTGTCAGTGCTTGCTGGTGACATAGCTGCCTCATCTGTTTCAGGAGTGACACTTTTTTCTGAGAAAAAAATTAAAATAGCAAAATACTGAAAGTGAGTTGTTATCAAATAACCAAATTATGTGCTCATTTTGTACATAAGATGATCTAGTTTAGCATTTTCATAATAGTATTATATAGCATTTGAAATTGGCAAATGACATTCACTACTGGGACTGGAATTTGTACGTAATGATATTCATTGCTTGATAATGATATTCATGTACTATGTTGGTAGTATGGCTTCAACTATGCAAGCAATTGGCTTTGGTGCTAAATATATTCATAATACAGTCAAACCTCTCTAAGACGGACACCATCACTGTCCTTTATACAGAGGTGTCCATTAATCAGAGGCTATCCCATGCTAATCAGACAAAAAAATCCACCATTTTCTTGATGCGTGTTAATTAGAAAGTCCATTGTGTGGGCCGTGGTCGTCTATTGGAGGTTAATTTGTACACGTGTAGATGTGTGGGGACAGTAAATCTCGTCCGTTATACAGAATAGAGAGGTTCCACTATACAGAGGTTCCTTTATACACTACCCAATGGCCTCATGACCAGGACAAGAGCAACTTTACGTTATAAAGAGGTGTCTGCTAATTGGGGGTTCGTTTTAGAGAGGTTTGACTGTAGATGGTATTGCTCTAATAAGAAAAATTTCATAAAATTTCAAAACTGCCATTTTGGTGTCCAAAACACAACAATGCCTCAATTGGTAGAGATGGGCGAATCCAGAAATTTGCATTCAATTCCATTCCAAATACTTTTGGGACTGGAATCGATGGAATGAAATACCGATTCCGAGTACTACATTTGCGCATGCGCAAAGCCACGTGGTATCAATTACAGCATCAAAAATGCAATAATAATGAATAATTAAGGTATTAACTACTGATTTATTACAATTTGGCTACCCAACCCAACCTACACTAACACATAATGTATTATCATAGATACTGTGACACTGACAGTGATACTATTGATGTCAACACTCAACTAGCATAGTGTACCTTTTGAACTTAGTCTAGTTGATCCTGCAGGTGGTATAGCTGGTAGAGGATGCTCACGAGCTATTTCATCAGCTAATGCTGGATCACCTCCTCCTTCTTTGACAGCTACACACACTCTCCTCCAACAAGGAATACCATTAGTCTTGTAATCATAATCTTTCTTTAACCAGTATTCAAAAACTTTACGTAGACATGAAAGATCTTTCCCACTAAAGTTAGCTTCAATGCTGTTGATAGTATCTATTCTGAGACGCAATGAAATAGCAATCTGTTCCCAATGAGCTGAGAGTGGTCTGACTTTATCATAAACAGGATAGAAATCATTGATAGCTATCATTAAAGCAAAAGGGTTACAATAACTCTTAGAAATTAAAAATAAAAATATTAAAACATCTCATGTAAACTTCATTAAATGTCAAATATATCCACAAACTCACTTAGTTCTTTATTGCAAACGTTTATAAAAGGAGCAGAGGAAGAACTAGGGCTTGTACTTGTAGCCATTGTGCAATGCATACACCCACGCAAAAAGTGATTATGTGGGCGTGGCTCACAGGCTCAGTATATTTTATTAAACTTTAATATCTATGGTCGTAGTAGTCTACACCTGAAAGCTTCTCTCCATCTCTTAATAGAACACCATCAAACAGTCAGCTATTGACTCCTGGACTGTTTCATTTATTAAATAAAGGAGTAAGGACCCTACACACTGGAGTAAGGACATAACTTGATGTAATGTTGCTAATGTATCACTGCTCAGCCTTGGGTAATTAATTGGGTTAAAATTAGATTAGAAATTTAATGAAATGTCTACTTTTAATGCCAAAAATTTTCTGGGGATTAAAAAATAATTTATTGAGTTAGACGTAAGGTGAGAATCATAAATTATGTGAATTTTTATGTATAATTATTTTATTAACGAAGCTTAAACTGAATTGAAACAATTTTTACAATTACTGGGAAATTATTTTAAATTTATTTGTAAATCTCAATGAGCTACATATTCATTTTCTTTATAACATCTCCTCTCCTTCTATCATCTCTCATTAGTATATATACTCCAGTAGTTCTGAATCAAGTGATAGATCAGATGATCCTAAGACTAATGATGATGAAGGGTCTCTGGATGAGGTTGATTTGGGTTCTCTCTCTCTCTCTCGTGCTATTGCCACCATATCAATACCTGATACTCTACCTGAGGTACCTCTCCTGGTACTCAATAGGAACCCAATGTTCCCACGGTTTGTCAAAATGGTGGAGGTTAGTCTAAATGATTTATGATTGTTAGTTATACTGTGCCATACACTGGGTACTTTTGGATGGGCTTGAATTAGTGAATTTGATAAACTGATCACAAAAAGTCATAATTCAAAAATTTAAAGTTGGAATCGGCTGAAACTTTTTACACAGCACAAGGACATCAATATGTATCAGAAAATGTAATAAAAATTTGGGGTGATCTTGGAGCCATTTTTTGAAAAAACCATGGGCTATAATACAGGGAAATTTTCCAAAATTTGTTCATTTTTAAAAATAGCCGTAACTCAAAAATTTGAGCTCGGAATTGGCTGAAACTTTCTACACAGCATAAGGACATCAATATGTATCAGAAAATGTAATAAAAATTTGGGTTCATTTTAGAGCCATTTTTTGGAAAAACCACGGGCTATAGTACAGGAAAATTTTCCGAAATTTTTTCATTTTTTAAAAATGCCATAACTCAAAAATTTGAGCTCGGAATCGGCTGACACTTTCTACCAAGCATAAGGACATCAATATGTATCAGAAAATGTAGTATAAATTTGGGGCCATTTTGGATGATTCTAAAGTTAATTAAATTGTAGTAGAGGCAATGGCCAAATTTCACTAGAAATGAAAAGTAGAGAATTCTATATTTTTATAATATTTCCTGGTACATATACATGTTCTTATGTTGTGTTGAAAGTTTGAGTTGAGTCAAATTTGGATTTTTTTATAAATTTTTAAAGTTTGTCAAAATTTGGCTGAAAGCCATGTACTTTAAAATCTGGCCAAAGACCATGGGCCATACTATGTTACAGGGTATTTTGTCAAAAATTGGGAGGAGAAAATACTTCATTCTATTACATGATCATTCTTATTTCTCTTTCTCTCTCTTTCTTGTCCCACAGAGAGTCATTGGCTCAGATCATTGAGGCTGGTAAAAGAGTTATAGATGATCCTACACATCTTGCTGGTTTTAGAGCTGCACTGACCAGTGGAGAATCACATCAAATTCAAGCAGTTCTTGAATGTCCAGACGTAATCATTTCAAGTCCACTGTGGCAGGAGAGCTGGAATAAAATTGTTGACTTATTTAATTTTGATTTTATAAAATAATTATATATATTAAAAATTTATTAAAACTTCAAATAGAAAACTCAATGCTATTGTTTCATAATAAAAGTACATCAAAATACAACAACAACAATAATAATAATAACAAAATTAAGTGTAAGTTCAAAATAAAGGTACATGTGTACATGCTATAACAAAAAAATTTATTAATTAAGGAAGAAAGGGAAGACTAGCAAAAGAAAGCAAAGAGTAGCTCCAGTGATACGTGTTAATGGAGAATATATTAAAGAAGAAGGATTGGTGAAATTGGTAACCATTGGGGTGTACCTGTGGGTATATGGTGTAATGGTGATAACTGGTAAGGTGGTTGCGGTTATGATGGTAATATGGTGGTACAATGGTAATGGATAGTATTGCATGTCTTTAGTGTACATGGTAATGATAAGATGACAATGGTGGTTAAATGTCAAACTTAGTATAAAGGTGTTAAGATTAATGGCGATACAAGTTAAGATAGTAGAAGTATTGTATAGGTGATATTGGTAGCCATTGGTGTATGGTGTAATAGTACAATGGTGATCGATACAAAGATAAGTAAGGTGGTGAGATGGTGATAAGGTCGTGATAGGTGTAATGGTAAAATAGTGTTTAAGATACGATAACGTATACGATAATCTCGCAAGCCAGACTGGCCTACGACACTAGTATAGGATTGGTGATATTGGTAACCAATGTGGGTATATAGTGTAATGTGATAATGGTACTCTAAAGTGGTGTAAGGTAGTTAGATGGTGGTAAGGTGGTAGGATAGGTATATGATGGTGTAATGGTGATAGGTTACATATGGTGCTGTAGTAAGATGGTGTATTGGTAATATGGTGATAGGTTACATACAATGGACTGATAAGGTGGTAATATGGTGATGAAGTTGTATTTAAGATACAATATCTTGTCCTGGTGGGTCAACCTGTTGCCTTTCAAGTTTCTCATGATATCTACTCACTTTCCTTTGTTCTAAAAGAAATAAATCATAATGGATCTCTTGAAGATATTTAACTACTGATGAATCAGGATTAACTGATTGAGCTATATCAATATCGTGTGGACGAGGTTTTAAACTGAATACATCAATTAAAAAGCGAACAAGCTCTAAATTAGAACTCTTACTAGCAAAATAGAGCAGAGTTTTCTTGTCATGAGTTTCAGCTAGTGCATTACAGCAAAGCTCTGTAAGAAATTGTAATATTAAGTCAAAGTTACCAGCTTCACATGCTGCATGAACTGAAGTGTATCCATTATTATCAGGATCATCAGGATTATAATGACAACTATTAATGAGATACAGTGCCATCTCATTACGATTGAAGAGACATGCATAATGAAGAGGAGTACGACCATTATCGTCACAAGGGATGTAGTTAGAAGCTACTTGAGTCTTTATGTGCTGAAATATTGTAGTATTGCCTCTTTCTGCCAATATGTGCATGCAAGTAATGCCATCTTTATCTTGTGCCTCAGGGTCTAGTCCACAGTTGTCAATTAAAAGTTGTACTATCTTCATATTCCCACCCTCACATGCTGCATGAAGTAGAGTACGCTTTCTATTATCCAAAACATTAATGCCATCAGGATAAATACTAAACAAGTAAAGAAACACATCAATATGGCCATTACTGCAAGCTGTATGTAATACATTGGATCCTTCATTATCAGTAGCTGTAAGGAGATCATGATGAGTAGAACTACCAGTGACTAAAAATAGTAAAGCTTCAGCGGTATCCTTATGACCAGAGGCAACTGCTAAGTGTAATGGTGTCTGTCCTTTCTTGTTAGTAATATTGATATTAGTAAACCTGGATAGAAGTGATACCATTTTCTGTTGTCCTTTCATACAGGCTAAGTGTAATGGTGTGTCACCATCTTTATCATTTGAGTTAATAAGTAAACTTGAATTAATTTCTAATAAATATTGTAATATTTGAAACTGTTCAGCTGCTACAGCAACATGTAGTGGTGTACGGTCTTGATGATTGGTTGCATTAGGATTGCAATAATTATTATCAACGAGATACTTCAATACATTCAAGTGACCCCTCTCTACTGATATGTGAACTGCTCCAGACCCTTCATCATCAGTAGCTGATAGATTACACTTCTTACTAATAAGATATTTAATAACTTCTAACTGATTGAAGTACACTGCAAAAAGAAATGGAGTAAAACCATACTTATTGTGAGGTAGATCAAGAGATGATGGTATGTGTTCTATAATGTACTGGATCAAGTTTAATCTTCCATTACTACATGCATAGTAAATAGAATCTATTCCTTCATCATTCACAGCAGACAGGTCTAATTTATGATTCTCTACCAGATGTTTGAGTATAGGAAGAGAGTCACTGTACTTACAGGTAATGTGAAGAACTGTTGATCCATTAGAAGTCTTAGCTGCTAAATTACACTGAGGAAGACTAGTGAGATAAAGTACAACAGGAGCATGGCCTCCTTCACATGCTTTATGAAGAACTGTACTACCAGTAACAGTAGTGGCATTAACATCACACTGATACTTGTTGATCAGTTCCTGTAGACAATGTAGCTTACCTTGATAAGCAGCTGAATGAGCTAGTGTGTACTTGTTATTGCTAGTGTGATTAGTAATATCCACACTATACTCCTGACTGTACCATTCCAGTATATGAGTATGACCAAAATGTACTGCTGCATGTAATGTTGTGAAACCATATTTATCAGTAGCTAAAGGCTGAAGCTTATACTGTTGTATTAGTAATTGTACTAGATCAAGATTACCTGATCCACAGGCAAATGAAACACATGTACTGTCACGTGTATTCTTAGCATTGACATCACATTTCATATCATTGATTAGAAATGTGACCACTTGAAAATTACCACTCTCACAGGCGTAATGCAACGGTATCCTACCCTCATTGTCAGTAGAGTGTAGTAAACTAATGTATTGAGGATGCTGACTGGTGATATGCTTGATAAAGTGAGTGTGACCTTCTAATGATGAAAAATGAATTACATTCCGACCTTTGTTATCTGTTAGGCTCAAACTACACTTGTAATCCTTTACATATAATTCCAGTAGTAAAATGTCTCCAGATTCAGCAGCATAATGAATTGGTAGCTTACCATTACTGTCAGCTTGATGAGGATTTAACTGATAGGTAGTTATTAATTCTTTAACAAGAGACAAGTTAAGAGACAGTGAGGCATAATGTAAAGCAGTGAGGCAATTCTTATCAACAGCATTAGGAGACAAACCTTGTTCAGTAATAAGATACTGAACTAAATCAAAGTTACCACTCTGTGCAGCATGATGTACTAATGTGCGTCCTTTATTATCTGTTTTAATGAGATATTGAGTGATATCAATATGACCATGACGACAAGAATGATGAAGACATGTCATACCATCATTATCAGTGATACTAAGATCACTTTTATGATTGTTAATAAGATATTTAATAGAATTAATACTACCTGACCAGCAGGAGTAGACTAATGGTGTACAACCATAAGTATCAGTATCATTAGCATTGAGATTATACTGAGATATGATATAACTTAATACACTAGTAGAACCTGACCAGGCAGCATAATGTACTGGAGATTCACCATCATTAGCTAATGTACAATTGATATTATATTCTTCTAAAGCTTTCACTAGTAATGTACTGCCACTCCATGATGCAAAATGAAGTAATGACTCACCATCATTTGTAGTGGCATTGATGTCAAAGTTAGGACAAGTGCTAGCTTTCTTTAGAAGTGAAGAAAACATTTTAACTCTTTCATTTCGTTTGAAGAAATCAATATTTTGTACTACTTGCGTTCTATTAATAATCTCAATAACTGGTGCATCACTTTGTGTCATTAGTTTACTATACACAATACCAGCTGGAATTTGTATACCTGCTTTACATGCATAATGTAAACATGACATACCATCATTATCATTAACTAATAATGCTTCATTACCTTGAATACTAACAATATACTCAACAACTGATGATGAAGCAAACCATGAAGCAATATGAAGTGGAGTCTTACCATATCGATCCTTTACACCAATGGATAATTGATATTGATTTAAAAGATAATTTAAAAGATCAACGCTTTTCTCATTTGTAGAACGACAAGTATAATGTAGTATACCTCGTCCTAAATTAGTAACTGAATCTGGTGAGAAGAGGTTTAACGACTCAAGCTTGTTGACTAATGCTAGTTCTCCACTTTGACAAGCTAATAATGATAAAGAGGCACCAACACTATTAATTTGAGAAGTACTGTAATGTCTCTCAATAAAAAAATCCACTAGATCAGAATGGCCCCCCATTGCTGAGTACAGTAATGCAGTGTTATTGCTATTGTCTGGTTGATCAGGAGGAATGTGACACGTGTCTACTAGATATTGTACTATAGATAAGTGGCCTTTATAAGATGCCATATGTATACAAGATACACTATTATCATCACCTTCATTAGGATCAATACCATATTGATGACATTGATGGATGAGTAGTTGAAGGATCTCAATGTGTCCACCATATGATGCAGAGTGTAATGGAGTCCAACCATGAAGACCACGATGATATGTGCTGTAACCAAACTTGTTAAGAAGCCATTGTACTTCATCTTTTAATCCTCTCCAAGCTACTTCATGTAATGGTGTACTGGTATTTTCATACAATAATGGATCATATATATCTAATAAAAAATAAATTTCATTAATTTTAATGTTAATGTAAATTTACAACAGATTTATAAACTACCGGTATCTTACCAATACTAATGGGTGAACACTGCATAGACACTTGTAATGCTGATAACTATCAAAAAATAATGATGATGTCAATTTTATAATAACAATTACCTTTTTATAATCATATTCACCACATGTTATTTCAGTGATACCAATACTAGCTAACTGTTGCTGTAGCTTTGTAGTTAGAGGAAATAATAAAGAATAAAGATACTCAGGAATGAGGTAACCCAAACAAAGGGACCCATCATGGACAAAACTGAAGTAAAGATCATATTCAGGAATATCCAAACCTTTTGGTATTGATCTACGAAAAAAGAATATGTCATCCAGTGTGTAGTCATCTCTGTCAACTTTAGCAATCATTACTCGTGTACCAGGAGGAACACCTTTTACACCAAACTGTACAGCATCAGCATCTTTCAATAGTCCACCACTGTTTATAAAATAATCCTTTAACTTTTCTTCATATGTTGACCAAGTTCTTTTTAATGAACGATTCTTGGGTAAAAATACTCCAACAAGTTTTATCATTAGTTTGTAGTTGAACCATGATATGTATTTGTTTTGTAGTACAGTGAATAGATTCGATATTGTTTCTATGCATTCAAAGTCTTCTTTAACTGCTTGAGCAATTTCTTCAGCAGTTTTTTGCTGTTTCCTGTTAGGACCAAGTAATGACATTGTGTGTGTAATGAGGTAGTCAATGATTTCAGGTAGATCACTTGATTTGAATAATTTTTTTGTTAGTCGAATTGCCTCATCAAATTCATCTTGTAGATCATATAGCTTGCTAGTTAATTCAAAGCTCTTTTCAGAGGAACCATATTTGGACATACCTAAAATCATGAATAGTTGCATTAATTGTTGTCTAGTAAGTATATGATTAGTAATGTGCTAGATGCATGCATTAAGAGGAGGCAATATTTTTAAAATTATTATTACCTGTTGCTTTGTCAGTGCTTGCTGGTGACATAGCTACCTCGTCTGTTTCTGGAGTGACACTTTTTTCTGACAAAAATAGAAAATAATACTATTATTATTATTATTATAAAATAGCAAATTATAAATTTTATATCAAGAACCTGTGCTTATTTCATCCAAAGCCTAGCTTTACAAACTAATATGTGCATGTGTAAAGGTGGGTCAATGCTAGCAAATTATTGTTTGAAAAAAATTCATGAGCAATTATAAATCAAATTTGCATGCTATACAGTAGGATTAACTTTTTTTTATTATTGAGCAACAGTAGCTAAAAGCTAGTGTCTTTAAAACTTTTGGGTTACAAACTGAGAACAGAATTTGTACCCAATACTATTTTATTGCTTGATAATGATATTCATATACTACATCAGTCATTCTGTATGCATGAGTTCAATGAAGAATGACTTGATAAATCATGCATTAATAGCTATAATTAGTTATGCTAATGGAGTAAGGGTGGGCACCATGGCTTATTTCCTTACGCTTGTGTACTCTAGCTCTCTTTCCTCTAGCTATAAGAGCCATTTTATTATGAACTGATAAATTTAGAATAGGCCTTTCCTACTCAGGCCCACTCCTGGCTACGCTACTCATAGCAGTGTGCCATGTTGCAAATATCAGCCCTACAAAACTCATTCCTCTTGCAATTGAGATGACTAAATGGCAACAAAATAAACAAAGCAAATCTGGCTGCCACAAATTATTAAAAATTAATATCAACATTTCTTAGTTTTCATTACAATTCTATACCATTTGAACTCGTTGATCCTGCAGGTGGCATAGCTGGTAGAGGATGTTCACGAGCTATTTCATCAGCTAATGCTGGATCACCTCCTCCTTCTTTAACAGCTACACACACTCTCATCCAACAAGGAATACCATTAGTCTTGTAATCATAATCTTTCTTTAACCAATGCTCTAGAACTTTACGTAGACATGACAGATCTTTTCCACTAAAGTTAGCTTCAATGCTGTTGATAGTATCTATTCTGAGACGCAATGAAATAGCAATCTGCTCCCAATGAGCTGAGAGTGGTCTGACTTTATCATAAAGAGGATAGAAGTCTTTGATGCCTATGATGAAAAAAATTAAAACTGGTCTTCACTCTTTACGACTTAAAAAACTCACTTAGTTCTTTGTCAGAAACATCCACAAAATCCTGAGTTCCTGTTTCAAGCTTAGCCATTTTGTACAAGAAAATACCCGCAGTTCGAGCTACGCCCAACGCATAGGCGTGGCTCAATAATATACGGAAATTTCCTTCAGTATAGAATACAGAGTAGACACGTGCGTAGTAATGGTTTGTAGGGCACCACCCACTCGGCACCACCAAGCAATCACTCAATCAGCTCTTGGGTCCAGACTATTTCCTTTTATAAAAAGCTTGTAAGGACCCTACACAATGGAGTAAGGATATAATTTAGTGTTGCTCATACCCCTGATCAGTATAATTGGGCATTTTGGGGTAAACATTTTGTGCCGCTGTCTTCTGTATTGAATTGTGCTAAAATGTCCAGGGGATTAAAATTTTGTCGATCAGATATAGGGTTGGAATCATTTTTAAGGCATACTGGTATCTATTTATTTTGAATATAAGCTTTAATTAAATTGAGATTTTAAGTTCTAGGAAACTTACTATTACTGGAAATTTATTTTATAAATCTAATAAATTGAGCTACATATTCATTATCTTTCTCCCTCTATCTCTCATTAGTGTCTGTTGTTACTACTGGTTATTAATTTAATTCTTTTTAAAGGAATATACTGTACATGGCTACATTGTATGAGTGCATGTACTTTAAACAATATTTTGAATCAGTCTACATTATACAATGTTCATATTGTTTGTCTTCTGTTTTGTCTCTCTCTCTCTCTCTCTCTCTCTCTCTCCCTGTAGGTAGAACATATCTCGTTCAATTGGCCGGGCATTAAATAGGGAAGTAAGAGTACACAATAAAGTAATGCAGCAATCACTCTGTATGTGTGTGTGTTAGTACTTTAGGTTCAGTGTAGGAGGTATGACTGATGTGGCTGAGATAAAGGGACACAGGAGGACATATGTTGGTCCCTTGCCTGGTAAAGTGATACAGTTTAAAGAAAGTACAAATTGAGAATCCACTCATACTGATTGATGAACTGGGACATGGTACCAGGTATGTGAGTTTGGGAATAGAATATTGTTGTACATAATTCTTGTATATGTATTTATATGTGTACATGTATTTGTAGTAGTTTTGTTATAACAGTGTTGGATTCGTGAATCATTGTAATTGTTACTGATACAAATGCATGTTCTTATGTTGTGTAGCAAGTTTGAGCTGATTCCGATTAAAATTGGATTTTTCATGAATTTTTAAATTTGCTTAAAAATGGGACTAAAGTCCCTGTAGTACTATAGTACAGAGTTTTTGGCCAAATTTTATCAAAAACAAAAATGAGAGAATTCCCCATTTTTATAATGTTTACTGATACATGGTGTTATAATGTTGTGTAGCAAGTTTGAGCTGATTCCAATCAAAAATGGATTTTATATTCATTAACCTTAGTAGCATTTTTTTCTCACTTTTCAGGTCTCTGGTTATTATATCGGAAGAGAAAGAAGCCATTGCTCAGAATTACGAGATACAACAAGCCCATTCTTTCTCTGGTTGAGAGGATTGGCAGGTCCTCATAGAAACTTATGCCCTCTAGTTACTCATCAAGTGGTACTACACAGAGAGAGAGAGAGTGGATGAGGAACCTATAGAAACACGTTGAGAAGGTTAAGACTGCAAGGAATACACACACATGTCATAGTATTTATTGTCTTTTGCTTTTTGATCTATTTTATTGATTATGTATGTGCATTGTACATGTAATTGTACTGTTACTTAAATTCAGCTAATAATTATACACAATTATACGTGTACATATGCCTATGATATACTTTTATTGTGAGTTCAGTCTCCTTCCTTTTACAGATATTATATACGTAAAGCAGCTTTAAAGTCGTATCACTAACACAGACAAAATGATGATGATGAAGATGATGAAAAAAGAAGAAACAAAAGAAGAAAATAAACCTGCTACTGCTGTCTCTCCTGTCACTGTCTCTTCTACTAATTTAAAAGATTTTGTCAGTCAGTCTTAGTTTCTGATCACCTCTAAAAGTATGATCATGGGTTTAGCTTGGACGTCACTGAGTGTTACAACTCTATGTGGAGACAGGCATGATTGAAGGGCAGGGGTTGTCTAAGTAGGGAGAAGGAAGTATGACTACTACTGGTCAGATGGGAGATGTAATGAATGAGTCCACTGTCATTGCTTATGCATTTGCTAAGGTAAGAGATCAAAATGCAAGGCACTTTTGCCGTACGGGTATAAAATTCCGTGGGGTATTTAATTTCACAGATTTCGTGGGTGACTTCTCAACCACGAAAATTAATACCATGGAAATGCTTACTGTGCATGTGCAGCACATGAAAATCAATGACATCATAAAAGTGCACGTGCAAAAACGCAAAATTCAACCCACTCAAAATTAAAGAATTAAGAGCTTTTCACTAAAACACGAAATTTTATACCCTCGAAATTTTCCACCCGTACGGTATGTACATGTAAATCATATTTTTATTATTTTAGTCATTTTTGTCTTCAAAATGTCCTTCAAATGATTTCCTTTAGAAAGCAAAAATGCATCTCCACATTCCTGAGGTAATTTATTATAAATTAATAATTATTATTGTTATTATTATAGGGTGCTATCCCAAAGAACGGTCCTTGCCAAGTGTTACTATAGTCTTTGCCCTCCTCTCACTAGCTAGTCTATGGATCATCCAATACATCAGAGTATTGCCATGACTGGTAAACTGTCACTCACAGGAAAGGTAACTCTTTCTACCTTACTCTCATTGACTCCTATTGCATAGTGTTTTGTTGGGTTAATGGTCACATGACTCATCTAAATCCTAAGCCTTATACATGTAATATGTGCGGGTGTTTTTTAAGATCAATTTTGTTTTAATTTAAATTGGTATGTGTGCATTGTATGTATTGCCAGTTGACATTATCAAAGAAAAGACATTGCTGTCTGTAAAATAAATTTATAATTTAAAATTAAATTTCTCTCTTCTTTATATCTTAGGCAAAACACTCAGGCATAAGCTGTATTATACTGCCTGAGGCCAATAAGAGGGACTATGAGGATCAGCTGATTGCATTACCTTAAGCGGTTAGCAGTGATCATGGAAGGGGAAACAAGGCACAGGGCTGGTACTGGTACATCTGAAGAAGACAAAGAGAAATGTCATATATGATGTTTTGGATCAACCCGAACCCCTAGATCCTGAAACAACAGACGAGGAGGGTGGTAGAGTCCTTTTGAAAAGAGGCACTAACAATAGTCGTAAGAAATGAAATATCATGATACTAGTAGCGTTGAACCTCAAACCACACTGGAGGATCAGATCTGCAAAAGAGGTAAGTGCATGTATAATCCTTTTGTGATGATTGAAAGGATTAGAAGATTGATATACATATTACATACACGTAGCATCTGTATATGCTTCTGCTTAAAAATGAAAATACTGTATAGCTGCTAACTTGTTTAGAGAGGGGGTAAATTTTGGCAAGTCTGACATTTTGATAGCCATTTGTCAAATAAAATGCATCATTTTAAATCATGTTCATGCTCAGTCATGCAAGGCCATAGATTTGCCAAATTAAAACAATCTCCATTGTATTATCAAAGATTTAGCAATGAGCCAAAATTTTGGCTTTCTAAAAGTTACCAGCTATACAGTGAACTAGAGACTCCAAGCAAGTGATAGTTTGCCATATAGCTCCAAATTTTGTCGGTCAAAATTTTCGTCAAATTCATCAAGTACTTTTGCTTGACGCTGACGAAATTTTTGTTCCACGTGGGTAGTATGCAGATTAATAACTAAAATGACAAAAATTTTAATGACGAAAATTAATTTTAACTAGAAATTAAGATTTTGACGAAATTTTTGACTGACGAAAATTTAGAGCTATACGGTACTTATAAAGTATTATTAAATGATATAGTCTGTTGCAAGTTATTAAGCATACTCTCTCTCCCCTCTCTCTCTATCTGTCTAGATCAATGAAGATTATGTTAGCTTAATACAATGGTGGCAGCTCCAATGGGACAACATAGCACATAAAACTTTTGCTGAATCAATGGACAAAAAAGAATATGTTTCGTTTGTCTAAAGGTAAGAGAGTAGATGAATGATAATACAAGATATGTTAATGTTAGTTGATGCACAGTTTGATTAGGAAGCATTTGCCCTTATCATCTCTACTAGCTTTAGCTTTAAAAGTTGCTTTCTGAAGCAACTTTAAAGATTTTTTAATCCAGTTTTGATTGGAATGAGCTCAAAAATTCTACACAGCATATAAACATGTATACGTACCAGGAAAATTATTTAAAATGGAAAAGTTCTCCTTTTCTTTTTTGGCAAAATTGTACAGGGACTTTAGTCCAATTTTTAGGCAACTTTAAAAATTCATAAAAAATCCAATTTTGATTGGAATCAGTTCAAACTTTCTACACAGCATAAGGACATGTATATGCATAGAAAAAAATTATAAAAATGGAAAATTCTCTCCTTTGCATTTTTGATAAAATTTTGCTAATGTCCCTACAAGGACTTTTGTCTGATTTTAAAGCAAAGTTTAAGGTTCATAAAAATTTCAAATTTGTTAGAATTATCTCTAAACTTCTATGCAACATGCATAAGAACCTTTACATGTATTTTTTGTTTTCAATTACTATTACTAATATAGGTAGTTTCTCCTAATGTCATTCACTGATATCAGGTAGCATCGGCCTAGGCAGGTACCTCCTTCTACAATGAATCAAAGATCAACAGATACTAATACACTGACTTGACAACAATGAACAATACAAGAGACAGCATGAAATAAGATAGCTGCATTAGGATAGAGTGAGTTGGTGACTCATTCATTTGACTTTAACTACTTTGATATTACTGATAATGTGTATTAATATACAGTAGATGTTAGGTTTATAGTCAATAATTATTGATAATACTTTAATGATGTGTGTGGTGCAGGGCTGTAAATTTTGTGGATTTTGCAATTTTTGAAGATTCACGAAAATTACCAGCGAAAATGAAATTATTACAGTGCAAGATGGTAGACGGCAAAAATTCGCGAAAATTAAATTAGCAAAATAGTATTTAGGTAAATTCATGAAATTTACAGCCCTCAAAAAATTTTGCGCTATATACGGTACAATCGTCCTCTCATTTGTTCTCGCTTCTATTGATAAGACTGCTCTAAGACTCAACAATCAATTCCTTGTTGGGGATACTTACTCTATTGGTTGATCTGTTGTGATGTTCTGGGGCCTGGGGGCATTAAATGAAACTGTTTATTTTTCAGCTTTATAATTGAAGTGTCTTGCAAGTTTGTAAGTGTAAATTACGGAAACTGGAAGATTTTAATGATGATCCTGATAATTCCACCCTATTGTTATTTTAACAAGAAGTTACTTTAAAAGGTTACTGACGATGTATTTTATGAACTGAGCTCTTTCTACAATTGAATGATTACAGGTAATTCACACCCATGCAGGTAATAATACAAATCTATATAGAGTCTAGGTATAAAAATATAGCTTGGTGAGTTGGTTTGATCATGGTTTGATTGAATCCGAACCGTTTCATTACTAAACTAAAATAATTAAGATAATTTATCTTGATAAATCCTCTGTTTGCCAGTGAAAATAGAATAATATAATTCTCCATATTGTTTTATCAAGTAAGGAGTGAGTAAAAATAAGTATAATTAAGTTGGCAAATTGTACAGTAAAAGCAATGTGTGTCTGTCAATAGTGCAAATAGTTATATTACTCCAATATGGTAATCACAAAGTAAACTTCCTTTTGCCTAGCATGAGTTTGTTTTACCAACTGAACAGTAGAGTACTCTGCTGTAATTGCACTGTTTGACAACACATTATACAACTTATACATAGTGCACTAGACTGTCTTTTGTCTTATCTCTCTTGAGGACAATAAGTGAATCAGAGGAGCATGTTTTATTCTTCCTTTCTCCTTTTACTGTATTAAAGTAATGAGACCATTTGCAGTACATAGGACTAGTGAGGAATAAACCTTTCCCGTGTAAAAGAGACAATATGTATATTTCAGCTTTTAATTTATCCTTGATTATACTGATGAACATATTTGCTGATCAATTTAGTGATAGGCAAGACACCAGAGTCTTCAATAATGGTGTGATGCAGGTCAGTGTATTCATTTCAGTAAACTACAATGGAGAGGCAAGTGAAGACGAGATAATAACTTATGTGCAAAATAATGCTGTCATATATTCATTGACGTTTGGAGAAAATGTAAAATGGCCAAATTCTACAACTGATAACTGTTTTCATCATGATATAGACCATGCTGCTAACAAAAGTACATCAGTGCCTCCTAAAGCTATTTCAGACATAAGAGTTCCGTTATATTTCACTGTACCAGGTGGCTCTGCTAAAGGAGAGCACAGGTGGATAGCTAACCTGGATGGCAAGCAGACTAGTGAAAAAACACCACTAATTATTACTGTTGAATCATTCAGTGTTTCTGGAGACGATTTTGAGATTGTAGATAAAACAAAATTTGATTGTCTTGTATTGCATGTACTGAAGTACAAGAATGATGTGTTCTCAAGTGCCAATAAATTGTTGAATTGTACTGAATTCAAAGGAATAAAGTTCAGTGGAACTAGTGCTAATACATGGGTCACAATGTCATCAGCTAATGGTCGTAAGCTGGGTGTCTTTGTCGAATACAGAGAAACAAGTAACATACAAATAGCCATTCCTGATTACACATACCAGCAAAATCAAGTGGTAAAAAAATATGTGGATGTCTGTTCTTCTATGATCATGCCCACTGGTACATGTTTAGACGATACCTTAGTTTTGAATCCTGCTCATGTTGACAATGCCTGGAATGAAGGAGTAGTTTTGATACAGGTGGGTAATGGAGATATAGGAATTTGGTGTGAAAATTGGGAGAGTGGCTTCCAAACTTTTCGTCGTTATTCTTTTGAGTGTCAGGATCTTGTATTCCAAGACACCTTTGGTGGCAGGGTGGAAATCAGATTTAACTGGAATGCAGGTGACAGGTACGGAGTGTCGGTAGTTAGCAAGGCTAAAGTTGTATATCCTTGAAAATTACATTGGAGGCCATAGATCTAACTACATGAATTGTAAAATCAATTTGATTGAGGCCTTTTTGTTTACTAATTTTTGCTACATGAGTTACATACAAATAATTTGATTTAGGTCTTTTTCTTTACTAATTTCGCTACATAAATTATTTAGGCCTTTTTGTTTGTTATTACAGCAACAATTTCTTTTAATAATTAAACTATTGAATTGTTTACACGATGCATTATAAATGCAGCTGTAATTTGCATTTGCTGAATAAAAACCTTAATTTAATCTGCTGACTTGATATGTGATTGGTGTATTTTTTCATGCTTCAATCACTGCACTGCAGAATTGCACACACCACTGAAGATGAGATCCATTCAAAGTTATCATCTCCTGTCAATCCAGTTGTCTGTGTGTATCTCAATTTTGGTTGGTGGTATTAGTCTACGAGACTGATTTACACACTCAGATCTTTCTCCAAGAAAAGAAGAAGTGATACTATGGATCAGCTGTCCTCATTGTCTATTCTATCTCTTTACAGCTAATGCTATAGTGAGCCTAAATGCTGTACATGCATAAAATTTTGTGGGGTATTTAATTTTGTGGATTTTGTGTGTGACTTCTTAACCACAAAAATTAATACCATGGAAATGCTCACTGCATGCCGGTATGCACAGCAAAGGCAAATGTATGGCTTAATGCAAGTGCATGTACAAAATGTAAAATTTAACCCCTTCAAAATTAAAAATTACGACCTTTTCACTCAAACACAAAATTTTATAGCCACCAACACATAACTGCATTAAATTATTATGAAAAAATGCACAGACTTCTTTGAGCCACAAAAATTAGAGTAGATAAAGGTGTACAAGACTTTTGGGTCAAACTACTGACACCGGAATTCGTACATAATAATATTTATTGCTTGATAATGATATTCAAGTAGTCTAACTATGCAAGCAGTTGGCATATAGTCTACAGTGTGTCAATATTCGACTAATGTACCTTTTGAACTAGTTGATCCTGCAGGTGGCATAGCTGGTAGAGGATGTTCACGAGCTATTTCGTCAGCTAATGCTGGATCACTTCCTCCTTCCTTAACAGCCAGGAAATATCTGGCTGTTAAGGAAGGAGAAGGTGGTCATAATAATGAGAATTGTAAACAAATGGTATAAGAATATAGTTTGATGAGTTGGTTTGATCAAAGCTCTGCTAATTTACTACTATCCTATAAGATACAATTAAATCAATGATTCATTATTGTACAGAATACAATAGTAGAGTATGTTGAATGAGTTTACTATTGCATTAATGGCAATGCTAAGATATGACGTGAATCAAGGACTGTCTTTTAACTATTGTGAGTATACCTACTTCTCTATTCTCTATGAGATATCATAATAACCTTATTCACAACAAACACTCCCACTTCTCTTGATGTGTGTATTACATTCAATCTCTCTTTAGCTCTATAAGTCCTTTTATTGTCTTGTTTCAAGTGATTGTATAATTTAATCACTAAAAAATCTTCTCTTCCAACAATACTGGGAGTTATCACCACCTTTGCCTGAGCAAGAAAGAGAAAATAAAAGGAGAGAGAGAGAGGAGTTAATAATACAGATACATCTATAGCAAGTTTGTGTGGATTGGCAGGATCAACAATACATGCATGGGATGGTTCAAGAATGACTGAGGCTCTATTGCTGTTGGTATAGCAGCATTGTACAATGCAATTAATGAATCAGCAACAAAAACAAAAATTAGCAATATAAATGTACATGTATATGTATTCTAGTGTAATTCATATGTTGAATAACTCTTTATCTGTAATAAGGTCTAAAATTTGTTGCTTCAGAGGAATTCGATAAAAAGTTCGTTTTGTGTATTCAACTGATTTTTCAAAGGCCATGGCCAATGCCCATATTACTTCTATTTGATTTTAGTTTCTTTACCGTATAGTGCTTTATTTTGGAGGAGCTAAACTTTCGCTATTTTTGCGGTTAGCATGAAACCGCGAAATTAAAGATCAGCTAAAATTTCAATTGCCATTAAAGGCGTGGCACTAACATTGCAAATCCGCAAAAGTTATTTCGGCAAAAAATTGATTTTTATCAATCCACGAAATTTTAGCTCCGCAAAATTAAAGTGCTATACGGTATTTAATTTTTGTCAATTTCTGATTTCCTGTATTATCAAACTTATTTATTGTTCATCTCTTCCTCTCTCCTTTTTTATAATGAATTTATTTTAAAGGCTATAGCCTGTGGTTTTTGTAGTGCATAAATGTACATGTATATGCATTCATGTATGCTATTGCTTACACCTGCATCATTTGCTATATATAGATTCAGCAGCATTGGCCATTACTCCTTGTACATACACATGGCTACAAAGAATAAAGAAACAAAAAAGAAGAGAAAAAAATAATAATGTATAGTAAAATAAAGAGAATGACAGACAAGAGAAAGAATACAATTCAACATGTAAATATATTCTTTATAATTATGATTACTCTCAGTAGTCCAGTTTCTAGTATACACATCTCTCATCACAGATAACACAAAACTCTTACCAGACAAAAAATCCATCTTCAAAATTTGGTCGTATTTAATATCCTATGGTAAAAAGGAATGTGTCATTTACAAAACATAAAAGTAATATTCATAATCATTTAAATTAAATTGATGCTACAACCTATCATAACAATTCCAAGAATTATACATACATTTTGTAGTCCTTAGTTGTGATATAAAGCAAATGAATACCATTGTACATTTCTAGGAACTGGCAACTTCTTCACCCATAAGTATACACACAACAGTTATAAAATTCCAGGAACCATACAAATCATGAATTTTCTAAGAACAAAGGATTATTATAAAATTCTTTTTATAAGTCACATACAGTGAGTGTCCGCTTTAACCAAGAGTGGAGTGAAATCTGAAAATGGCATCAGGTGCTGGTGAAGTCCTTGTTATTGGGTCTCAAACCTTTCAAATAGCTCAAAAGCAATTGCGTCCCCAAGACTACAAGCCTCCACTTGCTAGAGCTGAAAAGGTTCCTCGTACAGATACTAACTATCGAGTTACTGAAGGAAACATTGCTGCTATTGACTTTGGTACTACATCAGTTTCACTGGCTTACACTACCAAAGGAGATGAGAAGATCAATGCATTCATTCTTGATGCTCAAGACAAAGCTGCAAGAGATACCAATGCTGTGCTGTTCAAGAGAGAAGGAAAAGTATCAGTGGGAGCTTTTGGGAATAGTGCTAGGTCTCAGTTTATAATAATGAAAAAAGCTAAAAACTATGACCAAGAGAATGTCTATTTTGAAAGAATAAAAATGATATTGAAAAGAGAAAGCGTAAGTAGACTATTAAATTGTAACAATTTTAAATTTCTTGTTGAATCATGCATCTTTTCTGCAGGATGTTGACAGGCAAACATTAGTTGAGTCATTTTCTGGAGAGAAGTTTTATCTGGTGGAGGTCATTGCCTTTATACTGCAGTACTTGAAGGACCGGTTGGTAGATGAACTCTCTCGTAGCTTCGTATCATTGAAGACAACAGATTTTGATTGGGTCATTACTGTACCTGCTATATGGGATGCAAGAGGAAAAAGAATGATGAGAGAAGCTGCTTATATGGTACATGTACGCAATGAAAATTGTTCCATTATTGTTGTTTTTATAGGCTGGCCTCCTAACAGAATCTAAAAGGATCAGTGAGTTCACTCCTATATCAAGTAGTCCTTTACCAGTACCAGATGAAGTTAATGCTGACAAGCTATCACTAGCATTAGAGCCTGAAGCAGCAGCTCTTTATAGCCAGGAAGCAGTAGTAGAGCAGATCAAACGTCAACCATCAGCAGCAGCTATTAGTCATCCTACAGAGTATTTGGTGATTGATGCTGGAGGAGGTACAATAGATATTACTGCTCATGTTGAAGTGGATGGAGCTATTGTCGTTTAGAATATACCTATTGGTAATGCATGGGGTGGTACACAGGTAAATGAAGCATTCTCTAAATTGCTTCAGGAAGTTGTTAGTGATCCTGGATTTGAAAATTTTATTGCTTCAGGAAGTCATATCAAAACTCAGGCATCACTTATTAAAATTTTATACAATGAATTTGAAAAGCAAAAGATACTATTTGGTAATGGGAAAACAAAAGACATTGCAATAGAACTTCCACCAATATTTATCAAATTTCATAGAAAAGCCCTTGTTGAAGGAGTACAAAAAATGAATGGTATAGAGTATGATGCAGATACCAATGACACCCTTTACATCAACGAAAGTGTCATAGAGTCTAAGCTGTTTGGTCCAGTTATCCAAGGCGTTATCGATTGCACCCTGGCAGCTATTGGTAAAATTGATAACTGCCCAAACACATTTTACCTGGTTGGTGCTTTTGGAGGGTGCAAGTACGTTCATGAAAAGGTCAGTGCTGCTATAGAAAGTTACTACAAGTCTAAAGGTCACACTGATGCATGTTCTGTGTTAGTACCTCCTACTCCTCATTTAGCTGTTGCTACTGGAGCTGTTATGTGGCGTAAGAATCCCGAGAAATTTAAAGCCAGACGAGTTGATGCCAATTATGGAATAGGGGTTTCAATTACATTTAATGCTAAAAAGCACAATGAAGCTTTTAAGACTTACAACAAAGACCGTGAAGAATATTATTGTGATTACATATTCAGTGTATTTCTGGAGAAAGGTGAATTAGCTAAAACTAATGAGGTTATCACTACAAACGCAACTCCAAGATATAAAGATGACACTACAGCAAGTATCATCATCTACTCAACACCTCAACTTGGGATTCAATATATCAAAGATGAGAATAAGAAAATAATTGTTACTACCATTGGCAAACTTGTCCTTGATATTCCCAATCCTGATAATTTGCCTTTGAGCCAACGTAACATTGATATCACAATGGATTTCAGTGGTACAGAGATACAAGCAAAAGCTCGCTATCGTGTGACTGGCAAAGAAGTTAAAACTGTCTGTGACTTTCTTTCTCCTTAGTTTTGGACAAAATTAGCATTTTAGCATTTAGTCTAGCTGTGCTCATTATTTAATAGATAATTAACATTAATAATTTACCAAAGATAGATGTTCGTGTACTTGTTTGTACAGGGTCTCAGGCCATATTTCATTAAAAATGAAAAGGATAGAATATTTCATATTTATAATTTTTCCTGATACATATACATGTACTTATGTTGTGTAAAAAGTTTGAACTGGTTCGGATCAAACATGTGTAGGTGCATAGTTACTATTACATAGATTTCAATAACATCTGTGTGTGTCTTTGTGTGATTGATTACTTGTGGTCTGTTAAAATTATATTTTGTGCGTGCCTTGAAGGATGGCAGCTTGGCAAGGCTGCCCAGGGTGTCATCGAACTGTCAATGTCACATGTGTACCATGTGTATATATAACCCAACATTTTTTGAGAATGATACAAAAAGCCAAACCATTTTGGTGGGTAGTGAGTAGGTTCTATGACCAACAACTTCTTATTGTTGGTAGAAGCCCGTGGGCGCATATGTGGACCTTTTACACAAACCCTACTGAAAAATTTTCTCCTGCTATTTTAGTACAGAGTATTTTAAAGATTTTAGCCAATTTAATAAAAAGGTCATAACTGACTCAAAAACTTATGGAGTCAGAATCAACTCAAGCTTTCTACATAGCATAACAACATCAATATGTATCAGAAAATGTAATAAAATTTGGGGTGATTTTAGAGCCATTTTTTGAATAACCATGAACTATAGTACAGGAATTTTTTCGGATTTTTGCTTATTCTTTAAAATGGCCATAACTCAAACACTTAAAGCCTAAATCAGATCAAACTTTCTACACAACATAAGGACACATTATTAGAATATGCTTTCCACCCAACTCATTGACTAACTGAAATGCAAATGTGCTCCCATGTTTAATAAGTTTAGCTTGTTGAAAAGCCATCTCTTTAGCTGGTGGACTACTGGTCAATAGGAAATGATACATTTGTACTTTGTATCCATACTAGAAATAAATAATAATAATTATAACAATTAATAACACATCCTGTTTTCAGGAAGCATTACAATAAAAGCTCTATCAGTTGCTATACACTATCAATATTGTCAAGAGTACGGTTAGACACTCTCTGTAAATTATGTACTCTGGATATTGTTCATTGTACAGTACACAATGTACAGCATAGTAGAGTATTATAATGAATGAGGCTATACCACTGCATCAGAGGGAATGCTGATATATGATGTGAATCAAGGACTACCTTTAGACTATTGTGAGTACATCTATACCTCTCTATAACATAAATAACACTCCATTCAATCCTCTACAGCTCCAAAATTATATAAATGTACACAGTACACTTATCTGATACAAAGATGTAGTGTATTTGCATGTTGAGCAACTCATTACATGTGTATGTTATTGGATAGTGCTATTACTTACAAATGCATCAGTTGCTACAGACTCAGCAGCATCAGCCATTACTCCTATAGTGTTTGGAAAGAAAGACACTCAAGTACCTTGTATGTACATATTCACAGATATATAGAGAAAGAAAGGAAAGAGATTATCATTTTCTTTATCTGTCTCCATGTATATGTCTCTCATTACAGATAACACAAACTTATTGAATGATGGGATCTTGTAAAATTATACATGTACTTCATTATCTACAAGAATATAGCACAATGATTGCACCAAAAGTGTATAAGAAGAAGCTATTATCTTACATATTAAGGCATGTGTTTACTTTACCTGATAAAACAATTCATTTGAAGACTTGGCCATATTTTAATATCCTATAATGGTAACAAAAAGTGACATTATCCTTAAAGTATATTTGATACTTATAGTATACATATCATATGTGACCATAATTGACAAAAGGTACCTTATGGCGGATAGCAAAATTGGTCTTTATAGCCTTAAAAATCCAACTTCCTGAGCTCCATTCATCATCAAATTACTCCAGAAGATGCAAAAAGTTACTATGCAACTTTTAGAAACAATAGTTGTCTAACAGAGCACTCACAGGTTCATATTTTTCATCATAATGATGAATTTTAAAATCCGCTATAAGGTACCTTTTGTCAATTATGGTCACATATGTTAAATGCAAAACCTATCATAACAATTCCAGGAATTGAAGTGAATATAATTATTATCTATCTAGTTTTGTGTGCATGAATAACATTGTAAATTCCAGGAACTGCACAACATGCAACCAGTTCCAAGAATTAGAGCGAGCAGTGGCAACTGCACCTAAGCCTAATGAATAATATTATACAATTCCAGGAACTATGTACTATATGAAAAACCCATAATCATAACAACTCTCATAAGAGCTATATACAATTCTGTTACATCTACACACACAGAGTGTCTTTATAACCAAGAGTGGAGTGAAATCTAAAATGGCATTGGCTGCTGATGAAGTCCTTGCTATTGGTTCTCAAACCTTTCAAATAGCTCAAAAGCAATTGCGTCCACAAGACTACAAGCCTCCACTTGAAAGAGCTGAAAAGGTTCCCCGTACAGATGCAAACTATCGAGTTACTGAAGGAAACATTGCAGCCATTGACTTTGGTACTACATCAGTTTCACTGGCTTACACTACCAAAGGAGATGAGAAGGTCAATACACTTATACTTGATCCTCAGGAGAAAGCAGCAAGAGATACCAATGCTGTGCTGTTCAAGAGAGAAGGAAAATCAATATCAGTGGCAGCTTTTGGGAATACAGCTAGATCACGGTTCACAACAATGAGGAAAACTGGGAACTATGATCAAGAAAATATCTATTTTGAAAGGATAAAAATGTTACTAAAAAGAGAAAAAGTAAGTTACAACTAAAAAGTCATACAGCCAACTTATCCATTATCACAATAATCACTTTTAGAATGTTGACAGGCAGACACTAGTGGAGTCATTTTCTGGTGAGAAATTTTATCTGATTGAAGTCATTGCCTTCATACTCGAGTACTTGAAGGACCTGTTGATAGACCATCACTGTCGTGGTGTTACACCATTGAAGACAACAGATTTTGATTGGGTCATTACTGTACCTGCTATATGGGATGCACGAGGAAAAAGAATGATGAGAGAAGCTGCTTATATGGTAAGTATAATAAAATTTGAATTGTTCCATTATCATTGCCATAATTATATAGGCTGGCCTCCTAACAGAGTCTAAAAGGATCAATGAGTTCACTCCTATATCAAGTAGTCCTTTACCAGTACCAGATGAAGTTAATCCTGACAAGCTGTCACTAGCATTAGAGCCTGAAGCAGCAGCTCTTTATAGCCAGGAAATGATAGCAGAGCAGATCAAAGGTCAGCCATTAGCAGCAGCTATCAGTCATCCAACAGAGTATATGGTGATTGATGCTGGAGGTGGTACAATTGATATTACTGCTCACGTTGAAGTAGATGGAGGCATTGTAGTCCAGAATGTACCTAGTGGCAATGCATGGGGTGGTACACAGGTCAATGAAGAGTTTTCTAAACTACTTCAGGAAATCATTAATGATCCTGGCTTCAAGAAATTTATTGCTTCAGGTGATTACACAAAAAATCAAGCTACACTAAATAAAATTATATACAATGAGTTTGAAAAGCAAAAGGTGCTTTTTGGCCAAGGAAAAACAGAAGAAATCGCAGTAGAATTTCAAATTAACTTCGTCAAATTTTATGAGAAAGCTCTTTATCAAGGAGTAAAGAAAATGAGTGGCATAGAATATGAAGATGACACACTTTACATTGGTAAAAGTGTCATAGAGTCTAAGCTGTTTGGTTCTGCTATCCAAGGCATTATTGATTGCACACTGTTAGCTATTGAAAAAATTGACAACAATACCAACACATTTTACCTGGTCGGTGCTTTTGGAGGGTGCAAATACATTCATGAAAAGGTTAGTCCTGCTATAGAAAGGTACTATCAGTCAAAAGGTCACATTGACACATGTTCTGTGATAGTACCTCCTACTCCTCACTTAGCTGTTGCTACTGGAGCTGCTATGTGGCGTAAGAATCCCGAGAAATTCAAAGCAAGACGAGTTGACGCCACTTATGGGATAGGAAGTGCCACTAGATTTGATCCTGAAAAGCATAATGAAGCTTATAAATTTTATAATGAAGACCGTAAAGAAGACCGATGTAATAATTTATTCAGAATATTTCTAGAAAAAGGAGAATTAGCTAAAGCTGATGAAGTTGTCACTACAACCTTGACTCCAGCTCGTGATGGTGAAAGAACGATGCGCATCCGAATCTATTCAACACCTCAGCTTGGAATTCAGTATGTCAAAAATGAGAATAAGAAACTAATTGTTACTAAAGTTGGTGAACTTGTCCTTGATGTTCCTAATCCTGACAACTTGCCTCTAAGACAGCGTAAAGTTGATATCACAATGGATTTCAGTGGTACAGAGATACAAGCAAAAGCTCGCTATCGTGTGACTGGCAAGGAAGTTAAAACTGTCTGTGACTTTCTTTCTACTTAAAGTATTATGCAAAAAACAAAAAGTTACGTAACAAGCTAACATCTTAGTATTAGTAGACCATTAAATAATGATTATAATTATTAACTAGAACAAGTAGAGTTATAGTAAATTGCAGTGACAGTGTAATCCTAGACAATCATTCATAAACTGGCAATGGTATCAGAGAAATTATAGAAATGAAGAATTTGCTAAAATTAACTTTTGACATAATTTAGCCCAAGTCACAGGGACTTTGGCCTGACTCTTGAGCAAATTTTAAAATTTGTAAAATATCTAAATTTGATCAGAATCAGCTCAAACTTTCTACATAACATACGAAAATATATAAGTATCAGAAAAAAATATTATAAAAATAAAGTTTTGACAAAATTTGATCAAAGTAGTACAAGGACTTTGGCCCAATTTTTGAGCAACTTTAAAAATCTATTTGATTGGAGTCATCTGAAACTTTCTATACAATTTTAAAACATGTATATGTATTCAAAAAATTATACCTATTGAGAATTTTCTCCTAGTCATTTTTAGCTAACAGAGATTTTGGCCTGATTTTTGAGTAACTTCAAAAATTTGTAAAAAAATCCAATTTATTGGAATCAGCAAATTTTTCATACAAGACATGAACATGTGCATGTATTATGTATTTTAATTATAAAAATAGAAAATTATTCCCTAGCAACTGTACAATATATATATATATGCAAGATATTTGCCAACTTTTTGAGCAACTTTAAAATCCACTGAAAAGAGCCTGAATGCATTAGAATTAATGATGGGATAAGTGAACGGTATAATTAATATCCTAAACAGAACATAGAGATTAACAGTAAAACAGTGATTATTACTTTACAATAGATCTATCAACAATTTTTGTCCCTGAAACTGAAAGCATGCACACCAACTACACACACTAATCATACTGTCAAATTATAATAAATTTCAAAAATGAGATGCTTTGTAAATCATTTCAATATGATACAATTGATTGTTGAGTCACTTACAAGAAAGGATGCATTTAGATCTAGATATTTTTCACCCACTTCAACAAGATATCTTGGCAATTAATGAGCATGATGACACACCCACACCAACTTGGCAACAACCAAAACAGTATTAAAACGGTGCTGTAAATCTCTGCCTAAAGTCTAAGTGTAACAGGATGAATATCTATTATCTCACATATTTGAACAGAATATAATCACAGGGCCAGTCCTGTCACAGTACATTCTCATTTTTAAAATATAAATATCTCAGTAGCTCTATTATTTTAATCAAGGAATCTTGTTTTAATTATAATTATAATATTAAATGATGGTATTAGTTTAGTACATTCATTTCTTGCAGCGTTGTTATTTGCTTCTTCATTTCTGTTATCTCTTTCTTTGCTGATTCCTTAATCAAGATCTGCTCCTAATAAAAATACTAATAATAATGTACATTCAATAAAAGTATTTCTCATAGCTAGCAATTTCTGCTAAAAATCTTACATTGTATGTAGGTCAAACTACCAGCTTTATGGCATCTATCATAACTTTTCTTTCTACATTTAGCTCTAGTTCTTACTCTCTTACTTCTATCTGAGGTATCTCTTCTCTTTTCATATCATTGAAGGATTCCGTAGTGAGAATTTCTTCATACAATTCATTAATTTTTTCTTTGAAATCTCTTCCAAGCATGGTTCCTTTTGTCTTCTCCTCACTGGGCACATTCTTTGGTAAGCAATAGTTTCTATTAAAATATCTCTGAAATCTCCTCATTGTCTTATTAATGTCACTGCGTAGAGCAGTTGAAAATGATGTAAATGATTTTTGAATGTCTTCCTCTCTGTCTGGAAACAGCTATATGAAGTAACAAGTGTATGCATGATAAGAAATATAGTAATATAATAATAGAAAATTATAAATACTACAATTTTACAGGCATATAATATAAACTTTAATTTCATTCAAAAGCCTCCATATCACTGTTTTATGGCAAATTCTCAAGCCATTTATGGTAAAATATACAGGAATTTCATAAAACTTAGCAAGGATATCCTTATGTTGTGCATCAATTTTAACTTTGAGCTGATTCCGGTCAAAATACATAAGAAGTTTTTATGAATCTTTAAAGTTGCTCTATATGCTACATGTGTATAAGGCTTGCAAGCTCATAAAGTATGCTTTGTAGCTCACTCAGCATGCTTTCTGGGAAACCCAACCCTCCTGGCAGTCAAGTATTAGTAGAGGCTAGTCAAGTACTATTGTCCCTATAACTATATATTGTCCCATTTTGTCGTATCGCCTCTCCTTCCTTCCATCTACCATTAGACTCTGGAACTCTCTCCCAAGTAACATCAAACAATCAACCTCTATCTCTTATCTAAAATTTTATTTGGATAGTAAATTTTAATTTTAGTTATTGATTTTTATGTTATCACCTCATCATGTATTTATTCTTTTTTTCAATTAGCATCAGCTATTTATTCTTAAAAAAGTATTACCAACAAGAAACGGCACAGTCTCATTGATTTGCAATATTCAATTATACTTATGCACAAATCCATGCACACTGTTTAAACTATACATGTACATTACCAAGAGACCATTATAATAATTTGACATTACTAAAATACTTAAATAATAAACACAAATGTCCTCTCATTTAATCTGTCTAACACTTTGCTCAAGCTGGCTGAATTTATTATATTACATGAAGTGCTTACTGTGCCAATAGCAGTGTGCTAGTTTTCTGATAGCACTTTTGCTTTTGGTCTCATCACATGTGCTTAGTGCTTGCAAACTGATTATGAAGCACTTGAAATTAAGTACAAGTATTTTATTAGATAAAGCCTGAGGCTGGATCAAAAACTTCAAAAGTAAACCTTAAAGCACTTTTAAGCACAAGCACTAACAGTGCTTGAACACAACACTGAAACAAACATTGTAGATAACAAATAAGTTTAACATATGCAACCAACCACACTGTCTCATCAGTACTAAGACAAATTTACAATATTACGTTAGGCCAGTGTATACTGTCGATTTTTAATCAAAAAATGGACTTTTGTTTTGTCAAATGCTTTACTCTAGAGTGGAGCCAAATTCAACTCTATCATCAATGTACTATATAGTGGGTTTATATTTCAAGGATAATAAATTTCACAAATGACCCCAATCCAAAAGTTTGCGGAATTAATGTTCACAAATTTGCACTAATCTGCTATCTTGTACCATATTAAATACAATGTAGATTTCAAAAAAATTAATTTCACAAATTTTGAAAAATCCATGAAATTTGTTATCCTCAAAAATAACCTGCTATATGGTAACATCAGGACTAGTGTAACATTGTAAATCAGCCTATTTAAAGGGTTGGGGGTTTGTTATTTTTAATAATGTCTCAGTAGTCTATATACAATGTACCTCAATCATTTTATCACTCGTGGCTTTCATAGCTTCACGTATTTGTTCAATAAATAGCATGTGAACCTGATCAACCAGAAATCGAGGTGGGTACTCATAAAACTCAAACATTCTCGTGTGTGAGTCGAAGACATCTTGAGAAGTAACCTAGAGGAATAGGATAGAATAGAGGTAAGAAGCAGCTCATCTAAAGTATGAAAACAATCATATGCTCACAGATTTCTCCATGACAAGTACTGAAACTGTCCAAACTGTATCAAACAACTATCAAGCAGCTATCAACCAAAACAAACAAGGCGCCAAGATTGAAGATTTGCTTAGATTTCAACTTTTCGAGAAGAGGTGTGCCGAACCACGCCCATTGGGTGTGGTTCTAAATTGCTCTAATTTCGTCCGGCAAACAATCACTCTCTTACAGTCTCTCTGTCCCTCGCTCTCCCTTGTCCCTCTAACCCGTGCCTTGTTTTGAAGAGACTTTGTGCTAACTTATACTCACATTTCATCCTGTACAACACACTTACTGCCTTCCCATCTCCACCGTCCACTACTGGTCCTTCAATGACGAGTAACACTCTTCGCCTGGAGTTGAGTATTCTAGAGAAGCACTTCCCGCCCGACCATGAGAGGTTCCAGATACCACGAGCCACCCCTGATGAGATGACTTGTGTCTTTCTAGACTCCAAAGGCACCAAATACTCGATACAGTGTCATTTATCAGTGAGAAAAATAATAAATATAATTCTCTATTTTTACACGATATTTAGACCTATGATTGTTGTTGTTATTGTGGTGATGTGTAATGCTTTATGTTTATTGCTTTCATTGAAATGATATGTCATTGGGTTACTTTAATTATTTGTACACATAAACATTGATCTCTGTTGTCTCTCTCTCTCTCTCTTTTATTAGCCTAGTAACTATCCCACGGTTATGCCTGTTTGGTTCTCCGATTCTGATTCTCCGATTATCCCAGCACTTGTTGAGCAGCTAAATGATGCTTCAGACTCCCACCTCTCCTCAGCTACCCATCCCGTGAGTCAATAGGCCGTCAAGTGTATTTATTGCAATGAGGGTAGGATTGTTGTTAAAATTATTTATGCCATATTTTGGATACTCTTTTATTATCTTACAACATTGCATAATGTTGTTGTAACATAGAATTCCCCTGTATGAATCCCAAAAATCTCGTGAATAATAATAATAATTGGTATACAGTACATTACATGTGCATATAATGTACTTCATTGATTGACATAGTTTTTTGTAATACATATATTTCCTCAATCTGGTAATTTTTTAATTTTTTCCTTCCCCTTTATCTCTTTTTGTGTTTCATTATCTGTCTTGGCCACACTATTTCTTCTCCTTCCTGTCTCTCTCTGTCTCCTCTTCCCTTCTCTCACTCTTTTGTCTCTTCATGTATAGCTCTTGGCAAAGGTGCGTTACTTAGTGTCAAGATTATGCGAGACATTCAATGTTCCTGTCCCGCCAGTGGTCGGTGAGCTGTTTAGTTTAGCTGCTTCAGCTGCTCATGTGAGTATTATGATGGGAAGTTGGGTACATGTGAATTGTCTGTAAATGTGAATTGTTCTGTACATAACATTACCCTGCATTGTAGCTCCCTCCTCCATGGTTGGCTGTTATTTTATATCTAGATACATGTATTGTGTGTTTACATCTCAATTCATCTCTTTCTTTATACCTTTTGCCTTCTGAATTCTTTCCCTGTCTCTCTCTCTACTTCCATTCCTTTATTACTTCTTTGTTCTTTTCTCTCTCTCTCTCTCTCCTCTTTTCTCTCCCTCTGTCTCTTCCCCTTTCTTATTCCTCTTCTATTCTCTTATCTCCTTTGTTTGGTTTATTTCCTCAGATTGATAACACTGATTCAGGTGGTGAGGATATGCCTAACCCAGGTGAAGATGACAGTGATGATCAAAGTGTAGAGGGAGCAGTCGGTGGCTGTGATGAAGATGAGGAGGAAGATGAAGGTTATGATATTGATGAAGAGGAATTGTTTGGCGAAGACATAGATCTTAAGAGAAAGTAAGAGAAAGAGGGTAGAGGGTACAGATACAGTATGTTTATGGAGCTAGTTTATTTATCACTTATTATCAGTTATTTTCTAAGGTAACTGGATAATTAGTATTAATGAGAGTACAAATGTGTTTTTGTGTGTTGAGTCATCATGATAATTCATGTGGTATACATTGGGTGCTGTGTCTTTTATTATCAAAAGGACACCTATTGTGCATGTAATATTAGTAACACACACAATAATCTCTTTCACTATTGACTCTAATCAATCATTGAGACATTTGTAATGTACATGTACATGTACATGAATAATCACTATTAAGAGACAGACTAATTTGAATTAAATTCCTTTCTCTGTCTCTGACTCTATGGTATTTATACATGTATGTATGTACATGTACAATGTAGCGCCCATCCTTATGGTTTACTTTACATGCATATACAATCTCACTTTTGTACACATGTAATGTATTTTGAGTGATTTTAGTTCATATTATACTTTTATGTTAATAATCTCTCTCCTCTTTTCTCTCTCTTTCAGTGATCAAGAGGACATAGGTGCTGACACTGGTATTGCCGATGAGAACAAGGCTATATTAGAGAAGGTACGGTTGAGCACTCGACAGGAGTACATACAAGGGGGAGGAGCCACGAGCTCTGTAAGAGCCTCTGACCGTCTGATGAGAGAGCTAAGGGATATCTACAGGTCTCAAAACTTTAAGGATGGTGAGTCATTGAGTTGGTGTGGTTTAAGTAGTAATAAGTACATGTACATGTAAAGTGAACTTCAAACCTTAAATGTGTCCTCCTTAAGATAAAGACATCACAAAGTTATGTCTAAACTAAGTGTTAAAGGACACTGTTAGTAGTGACATGCTTCATTGTTTGATAATGAGGCCACTTTCTATTCATTGAATAGATTGCAAAAGGCAACAGAAATTGCCTATCATGCCTTAGGTTGAAGTCTAATGGATGGAAGATTGTATGAAGGCTTTTATTGAAAACACAGCTAGGATATTTGTAGTAATAGTGTCTATTAATAGGCTAATAGCTTCTGCTAATGATTGATTGGCTACAATCAATTGATTGATTGTGGGTGCATGACCTGATGGTGTTCGCATTCAAGGTTTACTGTTTATCGTATCTGTGGGATTATACACCATAGGGTTTTGTAAGTTCTTGTTTCTCTTGGGAAAAGCACAACTTGTTTTGAGTTGATTATTTTCAATATTGGCTTGATTATATGAAAGATCTCTATCAGAGTTTTCGTAATAATTACGGTGATGTACATGTGAGATGCATCTACTCAAGTTTAATCATTTAATAAATTATTTGTGATAATTCTTATTAATCAAATTAAGATTTTGCAGCCTATTCTGTTAATTGATGGTCACTGTAAAGCTTTAATTGCTAATATAAATTCAATTTTTATTTTATTGATTATTAGGCATGTATACAGTTGAACTAATAGATGAGAGTCTGTACAACTGGTACATCAAATTATTTAAGTAAGTACAGTACATGTACTACATGTACATGTACATGTATAATTACATGTATATACATTGTACATGTATGTATTGTGATGATAAACATCATTATTGTATTATTAAGATTAAATCATTTCAAATTAGCTAAGTTACATCATAGTTAAGTCAATTTGGAGAAGGTGACTTTTCTGTCTTATCATTTGCAGGACTCAGGGTATCAGTTGAAGATCCTGTACTAACGTACAGGGTCTTTCACCTAAATTTTGAGGAATTTTGAAAATTCATTACAAAATCCAATTTTGATCAGAATCAGCTCAAACTTGCTACACAACATAAGTACATGTATATGCATCTGAAAATGTAATAAAATTAAGAATTCTCTCCTTTTCATTTTTGGCAAAATTTGACCAAGACCCTTGTACAGGGTATTTGGCCCAGCTTTTGAGCAACTCCTAGTTTGGTCAGAATCAACTCAAACTTGCTACACAACATAAGTATTATGCATCAGAAAATGTAATAAAAAATTAATGAAGATTTCTCTCATAGTTATTTTTGGCAAAATTTGGCTAAGTACCCTGTACTACACTACAGGGTCTTTGGCTCATTTTTTAGTAAGTTTGTCAATTTACTGACAAGAAACTTCTTGAATACCATGCCGAAATATTATGGAAAATCCTGTTCCTTAATATAAAAGAACAGGATTTTCCATAATATTTCGGCATGGTGCAATACTTAGAAAGTTAAATGTAATTAACCTAAGCTTAGAATACTTTTGACTATTGATATACTGACATACTGTATTATTGAGAATTGTTTTTGTGTGTGATTTGTTAATTAACAATTACTGATAAAGCTACATTTGTGCAATATCAAAATTTAGAATTTTTGTCTTCTTCAAATGAGCCACTTGAGAAAAAAATTATTCCTTTATCTAAATTGCACTAATCCTTAGTGTTTTCTAAACTTTAAAATTACCTGCTAAGGCTACTGTACTGTAGTGTCATTGTATATCTACATTATACATTGTGTAATTATACATTGTCATTCTGTGTACATGCATACATGTGCATGTACATTATACATGTATTTTATTCCCTTATGTACATGTATGTACAGTATATGACTGTTTTGTGTTGTAGGGTTGATCCTGACAGTCCGTTATCCGAAGACATGAAGCGTCTGAAGGAAAGCGAAAACATGGACCACTTCCTCTTTCACGTCGTCTTTGATGACAAGTTCCCGTACACCCCACCTTTTGTACGACTGGTAAGACCGGTCGTTAAAGGCGGCTATATCCTAGCAGGTGGAGCTATCTGTATGGAATTATTAACACCTCAGGGCTGGAGCAGTGCCTATACAATGGAGGCAGTCGTACTACAAATCGGAGCTACACTAGTCAAGGGAAAGGCGAGGGTTGTGTTCTCTCAGTCGAGAGGAGAGAGCTATTCGTTAGCAAAGGCACAGCATGCTTACAAGTCATTAGTTAAAATACATGAGAAAAGTGGTACGTATAATGATGACATTGTATCTTCATTGCTGTGTATACTGAGACATTTTTTTCATTGGGTTTAATTTTCATTAAGTTTGTGTGTTTCAGAGAAAAGCTTTAGAGTAAAATTAACTTTAACCCTCAGAAATTCCCTAGCAGCATTAGCATCTTGCCCTCCTCAAGCCAGTTTTAAGATTTTTGACTTGATTTTGTACCATTGTCGTACATATACATGTATGTGTAATACATTTGGAGCAGCTTTAAAAATTAATAAAAATTCAAATTTAATTGGAATCAGCTCAAAATTGATACACAGCATAAGGACGTGTCTACATACCAAAAAAATTATTAAAATGGGAATTTTCTCCTAGCCATTTTTGATGAAATTTGGCCTGTGACCAAAGGCTATAATAGCCTTTGGTTGTTTGTTTGATTTTGGAGCAAATTTAAAAATTCATAAAAATCCAAATTAATTTTGATTGGAATCAACTCAAAGTTGATACACAGCATAAGAACATGTATATGTATTAGAAAAAATTATAAAAATTTGAAAATTTATCCTAGCCATTTTGACGAAATTTGGCCTGTGAACAAAGGCTATAGCCTTGGGTCGCTGGCTGGATTTTGGAGCAACTCTTAAAATTCATAAAAAAATCCAAATTTGATTGGAATCAACTCAAAGTTGATACACAGCATAAGAACATGTATATGTATCAGAAAAAATTATAAAGATAAAGAATTCTCTCCTAGCCATTTTTGACAAAATTTGGCCTGTGACCAAAGGCTATAGCCTTGGGTTGTTGGCTGGATTTTGGAGCAACTTTAAAAATTCATAAAAAAATCCAATTTTGATTGGAAACAACTCAAAGTTGATGCACAGCATAAGAACATGTATATGTATCAGAAAAAGTTATAAAAATGGAAAATTTATCCTAGCCATTTTTGACGAAATTTGTTGCACTAATTTTTGAGCAACTTTTAAAAATTTATAAAAATCGAAATTTAATTGGAGTCAGTTCAGAATTGATTTAGAGCATAAGGGCATGTATATTTATCAGAAAAAATTATAAAAATCAAAAACGTTTTTTAAGCTTCTTTGACGAAATTTGGGCTGAATTTGATTTTTGGCCCCAATTTTTAACAACTTGACTAAGAGTTGCATGAGCTATGGGAAACCCTAAATACACCTGATATCACTCCCTGCCAATGTTTATTATAAATTTCGGGTTATTGATGTCCTTCTGCTATGTAGAATTATTAATTAATAGTGATTTCTTACCATCTGGGCAGGAAACAATTGAATTTATTAATTATTATTGCTCTTCATTGCAGGTTGGTTTACTCCTCCACAAGATGAAGGCTGAACTCGACACATCCTCCCTCCCTCCCTCTCTCTCTATCTTTTCTTTATCAAATCACCCACCTACTCTCACTCTGTCACTGACGTGTGCAAAGTCATTTCACTATTATTACTATCAATGATATTATTACATGTATTTCCTCTCTCTGCTTCCTCTCTGTATAAATTACTCTGTTATTGATTCCTTCTCTCTCTCACTGTTTAGTTTTCTCTAGAAAACAATTTATTATCAAGACTATTTTTTATTTAATTTCCTGCATGATGAAAAATTATTGTTAATAAATCTCATCTCAGACTCTAGTATTAGTCTACTAATAAACCACACAGCTAATAATAAATTATAAAGTTATAAAGCAACACAATCAGCAGCTACATAGCTGGATCCATACACCTCATCAGTCCCAGTCCTCTTCATCATCATCCTCAAACTCTCCATCGCTGTTATCTGCAAGGGAAGGAAAGGGAAAGAAAGTTTATTTACATGCACCTCACTTGACGTGTTAAGAACAAAAATATTATTCTTTAGTTGTACATGTACTTGTACAGATTAAAAATACATTTATGTTGTGCGTTGTCAAGTTTAATATACCATAATGCATGTACATGTAATTCACTTAATACATGTACATATATGCTTACATTCATTTTAACTCGAATTATTATTTTAAATAATAAAACGAAAATAATAACAATAACATTCTCATGATGGTATATGTTACAGTATAAATACAAATAAATGTATTCTAATAAATGATATGGATGTACATGTAGTCTAAACAATGTGTGGAGTTCTCTCATTGCCCACACTATAAATGCATGTGCACATACATGTACATGTACATGTATAGTTACATGTACATGTAACTATACATGTACATGTACCACTCCTTACCACTGTCCCCATGAATGGCATTGCTCCTCATTTCCAGTGCCCTAGCTAAGGCTCCAGCCATACCACCAACCTCTTCATCTGGTGACTTACTCTCTTCAGGCTCTGTATGAGCAACCTGTAATGGAAGAATGAGATTGCAATTATTATTATAGCAATTATGCTGAGAACAATGAATTTAGCTATTTTATTGCATACATGTACATGTACATATGTATTTCACACTTCACACTGGCATTAATCAGCTCTGGCATCATTCGTACACTGTTGTACATGTCAGTAATAATCAGTTACCCTATAGCTCAAAACTTTCAAGGGTAAAACTTTCACGAATGAGTGACAAGAGAGATACATGTATTTGCTATTAAAACTTTCGCAAATGGCCCAGGTCCAGGTACTTAAAGATTGGGAGAGCTCCCACAGCATCAGGCAAATGAAAAGCATGACTGCAAGAGAGTTTTGTCAAGGTACAGCTAATAAAGGCCACCACACCCTTTTGAATTCTCGCGATGAAAACTTTCGGGTTTGCATCTAAACCACAAAATTTGCGAGAGTTTTTAACTTCGAAAGTTTTGAGCTATACAGTATTACATTTATTTATTTATCCGCAACTCACAGATCTCAGTGTTATCCCAGCCCTAATACTGGAGAGGAGGTTACCACGTGCATCATCAATCACTGGGAGGTTTGATGAGGCTGATGGTTTAGATGATGGAGGAGGAGGGGGTGGTCCACCCCGCCCACTTGCAGGAGGAGGGGGAGGAGGAGGAGCACCTAGAGAGAGAGAGGGGGGAGGGAGGAAGTGGGAGGGAGGGAGGGGGAGGGAGGGAGGGGGAGGGAGGGAGGGGGAGGGAGGGAGGGGGAGGGAGGGAGGGAGGGGGAGGGAGAGAGGGAGGGAGGGAGACAGAAAGAGAGAGAGAGGGGGGAGGAAGGGAGGGAGAAGGGAGAGAGTGAGAGAGAGAATGGTTAAGATGTCAATGGTGGTTTCCCAAGCGTGTTAACAAGGGCTAACAGTTGATGAGTCTAAAAGGATTCTTGTGTATTATGAATGTTATTTTGTTTGACAGATTGTTATAAGAAGGTAAATATCAGAGACATAAGTAACACAGCTAGTAGCTAGTAGCTACCAGCAAGGTCCAGCACACCACCACTACATACATGTATGCATATTCCAGATTTCAATGTTTATACATGTACATGTATACTTAAATGCTGTATGGCTCCAAATTTTTGTCAGTCAAAATTCGTCAAAATCGTTATTTCTTGTTAGAATTAATTTTCGTCATAGTTATTATAAATCCAAAAAATTTCATCGGTTAAAAACTTGGTCAAGTAAAAATTCTTCATGTACAATATATAATTTCTGACTGACAAAAATTTGGAGCTACAAATGTATATACATGTACATGTGTAGTATGCATCATTTTCTCCTTCTCTCTTCTCTATGGTGCCCTTTTAATTTCTCTTACCAACTGCAGGAGGTGGAGGTGGTGGTGGGGGAGGAGGGGGAGCTCCACCGCTAGGAGGAGGAGGAGGGGGAGGAGGAGCAGCTCCTCTTGGGGGAGGGGGAGGTGGTCCACGGTTTCCACGAGAAGGCGGAGGAGGGGGTGGGGCATGGCCTCGGTGAGACGGAGGGTTAGGTGCCTTGGCAGTCTTTGATGCCTCAAGTTGGCGAGTTGCTTTCTCAATGCCGCCATGCTTCTCAACAAAATCATAAATGAAGTCAGCAGTCTCTTTGTCCTTTAGCTGCTCTTCTGTCACACCAACGGAGTCAAGGAGGTTCTTCCATTCAGGTTTAATGTTACTGCTCTGTGAGGAGAATTAGGAATAGAGTGAGGAAGAAAGGTAATAATAGGAGAGGAATAGAGGAAGGAGAGAAGTAAAGGTACATGTACATGTAAATTACTGATTTACATACAGTGTACATGTACATGTAGAAATGGGTAAAAAGGTGTACAAATGTACATGTAGAAAAGAAAGGAAAGAAGTCCATGTACATATTGTGTATAATAGGGAAAGAGAAAGCAAGAATAATGGTAGAAGAAGGTATGTTGTAACTGTCAGGTGTAACATAAATGCCACACATTATCAACTAATACACAACAAGAACACATACTGTACATGTACATACATGTATGTAATGACTAAGAGTATTAATTGTACAATGTACATGCTAATCTGCATGTATAATGTATATGAAAGTATGCATAACAGTAAAGTACTGTATGAATGTTTATCTTACATTGAAAGCACCAGTTTGTGGATCCCAACCAACATGAGCCAAATGCCTATTGAAATAAAACAAGAATAATAATCAGTGAATGATTGGGTGTGTGTCATTTGATACATGGGCCCGGTCTTCAGTACATGTATGTACATGTACACAATATAATTGAGCAAGTGATTGAGTGACAATAAAAAACATAAAATAATATCAACAATACACATACAAGTACATGTAACTTCTTCCTTCACTTCTTTAATTTACATGTACTGTACATGTACATGTACATTTCCCTCCTTTCATGTTTTTACCTGAATTCAGTGGGTAACCCAATGTCTGCTTTAGTCAATTTCTTTCCTCCTTTTGGTTTATTTAGTTTCCCTTTATCAGAGCCATCAACCCCAAGACTGTATGGATCCTTATTAGCCACAGGACCAGGAGCAACTGTATTGACTGGTTTCTTAGGCTCAGAAGGAGGCTTCCTCTTCATGGCTAGAAAAAAAAGAAAAAAGAAAAGTACAAGTAACAAGAAAGAAGTAGAGACACAAAAAAGACAGAAGGAAGAGAGCAGGTCAAGGACTAAAGAGCTTACTTGCTCTACGTGCATAAGTGATTTTGCTTTCAACAGCAGCACGAAATTTCTCGGCTTCTTCTTCACTGGCAAAGTTGAGACCAACCATGAACTCCTGAGGAGAGAAAAGGGATCAAGAATAATATGCATGTATAATATAATTGGAACAAAATACAGTGTACATGTATGTGTACATGTAGTACAAAAACTCACATGTCCAGGGAATGAGTGAAAGTAAGGACGATCTTTTGAATAGCGAAACTCATCATACAGCTCTTGCTCAAAAACTACAGCACGCCTCTACACAAGTATGTATAAATAAAATCAATAAATCACACACACACACACGTACATGTACATGTACTATACATGTATGAAAATAATACCACCTGTAGGCTATAACATTATACAATACACACAAAAGGGTATCACAATACATACCAAACATGTAGATGTACATGTACATGTATGCACCATACATTAATTTATACATGTACATTATTATGAGTTTTATATCTTAAGTTAGTATACAGTTACATAATCGATATACCTTTAGATCAATGAGCCGGATGAAATACGATCTCTGAGAATTGTCTTTCACAAAGCAAGCAACACCTGTACTGAACTTCTCCCACTTGTTTGGATTTGGATGAGCATGATACATCTGAACCACAGCAGTAGCTCTTGTCTGAGAGGGGGAGGGGAGAATAAAAAGAAGAGGAAGAATACAAAAAATGTAAAAGGGCAAGAAATGAGAGTAAGGCAAGGTGGTAAAAGAGCGATTAAAAGAAAATAGAAAGGGGATATAAGAAAGGAAAGTACAGAAGGAAGCAACAGGCTTAGAAGAAGAGAGAGAGCTTTAAAGAAGAGAACACATCAGTCACTTACCACTTTCCTTGACCCCACAATAGTAAAAATGAGCTGATTCTCCTCGTTACTTAAAAGAATTGAGGGCTCATTCTGTGAAGCAGCATTTGTAGACATAATAGTCAAGGGAAAGAGAAAAGAGAGAGAATGAGAAGGAAAGTCAACCGCAAAACACTGACAGCGGACAGCAAGTGATGATGAAGCTTATGGGCGTGGTCATGAAGCGTAAGCCACACCCTCCGATTACGATGTCTGACTTGAGCACTTCTTCTCGCTCTCTTGCCGATTTTGTTGCCGTTTGTGACAAAGAACTAAGTAATTTTACTTGAAAAATCATGTCTCATTAATTTTAATAGGTATCAATGAGTTTTATCCTGTTTATGATAAAGTCAGACCACTCTCAGCTCATTGGGAACAGATTGCTATTTCATTGCGTCTCAGAATAGATACTATCAACAGCATAGAAGCTAACTTTAGTGGGAAGGATCTTTCATGTCTACGTAAAGTTCTAGAGTATTGGTTAAAGAAAGATTATGATTACAAGACTAATGGTATTCCTTGTTGGAGGAGAGTGTGTGTAGCTGTTAAAGAAGGAGGTGATCCAGCATTAGCTGATGAAATAGCTCGTGAACATCCTCTACCAGCTATGTCTCCTGATGGATTAACTAGTTCAAAAGGTACATTACTTGATCTTCCAATACATTATTATCAGTAAATTCAAAATGAAAGGAAGTTACTTCTTGATAATAACTGCTTGTGCCTGTAACTGATGATCAGAAATACATATTCATTAGTTCTTGTCTGTGACCTTGGCTACCTTTTCCCAAATGACTATATTGGAGCATTAACTATCATTATCTTGCAATGAATATCAATAAATTATAATCCCATTGTCAGTAGTAATGTCATGTGTATTTGACAATTCATGACCTCTAGTTAGTCATTAAAACAGATTTTAAGGTCAGTTCATGCTGCAATGCATTTTGACCAGAAGTGTTTGTATTGTATTAATGTGTTGTGTAATGTACATGTACATACAAGAGTCAGAAAAGTTTCTACCTCTTACTGACATAGATGCATTCCAGGCACTTTCAGTTGTCATTATAACATATTAATGCATTAAATCCTTAGCAAGTTACCTCATTTCAGGAAGTCTATTCGAAACTAAAATAGCCATTTGTTGAGTTGTCTTAGCAACATTTTAAAGTGACATGTAGCTCTATTATAGTTTGAATATCCATTTTTGCAGAAAAAAGTGTAACTCCAGAAACAAATGACTCTGAGATAACTATGTAACCAGCAAGCTCTGAGAGAGTAACAGGTAATTTGGTATTTGTAAGATTCATGCATGGGAATTAATAATAATGCTATGTGCATTGGCAAATTTTTATGCAGCTCGATTTAATGCCAGTTTTAGCAACTTCAAATGCATTACTGGTATAGTCGGTTCAAGTTGAGTTGTCACAGGAAGTAAATCAATTTTTGCATCATCAAAACGTCACTACTAGCCACACCCAAAAATGGTGGTACAGTGCAAGCAAGCTCTTTTATAGACTGTTTGTCATCTGTTTTATCCTTGCTTTGGATACTACTACTGTAATGTTCTCACACTGTAGTAATAACCAAGATTCAGTCGATCACATGTATCATAAGATTCAAAGCAATACCGGAATAATAATACAAAAAACTCTAAATCAGTGTTACTGTAAACTCATAATTATTAATCACAATAATTATTAATGATAATACAATACACAATAACTAACTCCAGTACATCTCCCCTTTTAAGTCAAGTAGCACTTGGATCATATTGAAGCGGCTTGAATGTAATCCTAGTACTCCTTCGGAGAGGTGGAGCAGTAGTAGTAGTTGTTTCGGATACAGCCGGCTCATTCTCTGTGTGTGTTGACTCACCAACAGTTTCACTACCATTTCCATTAGGCTGTTGCAGTGTAACCAAATTTCGCCTGTTCCTTCTGTATGAACCTGAGAGTGTTACCACTTGATAAGAGCGAGGACCAACTTGTTCTTCAACTGTGCCATTCTCATGGCGATCTGACAGCCAAACTACATCTCCTGGTTCTAATAATGGTAAGTCTCTTACTCCATGGCGACAATCAAAGCGATCCTTCTGTTTTCGTCTCTGTTCCTCTTCTATGTGCTTTAGTACATCACAATCTGGAAGGTGTGGTTTTCTATTCTCTCTAGTAGTTGGGAGAGTAGACCGTAGTGTCCTCCCCATTAACAATTGTGACGGTGAGTAACCATTCGATAACGGTGTGACTCTATACGCCAACAGTGCTAGGTATGGATCACCTTCCTTCTTCAATAAAAACTTGGTTGTTTTAACCGCCCTTTCAGCCTCACCATTGCTCATGGGATGATAGGGACTACTTGTAATATGACGAAATTGATACTCACAAGAAAAATCAGAGAATGACTGTGCAGTGAACTGTGGCCCATTATCAGATATGACTTCTTCAGGTATACCATGTCGAGCAAAAATACTTTTGCACTGTAATACCACTTCCCCAGCTGTTAGATGTCTCAACTTAGCAACTTCTATATACCTGGAGTAGTAATCAACAATCAGAAGGTAAGTGGTTTTCTTGAATTCAAAAAGATCCATCCCCACCTTCTGCCAAGGTAGTTCAGGAAATGGAGAAGAAATTAATGGTTCAGCTCTCTGCTCTTGAGACACACGACAGGAATGACATCTTTCAATGAGTCTTTGTATGTCCTGAGACAGGCAAGGCCACCAGACAGATAGTCTAGCCCTCTCTCTGCATTTAGTGAGCCCCTGGTGTCCTGTGTGTATCTGATTGAGGACCTGTTGTCTAAGTTTAGAAGGAATGATAATTCTAGAGTTTCTCATTAGGAGACCATTAACAATAGATATCTCTGAAGAGAGAGAGTGGTACTGTTTCAATGATACAGAGAGGCTTGCTTTATCTGGCCACCCTTTAGTACAGTATTGTGCTATTTTAGCACAAACTGGGTCCTTCTTTTGCTCCTTTTCAATTTCCTTTAATCTGATCTCTGAAGCAGGGAGACTCTCCATGATGTATTCAATAAAGGCCCTAGTGTCCTCCTCTAGAAGCAGGTCTTGTTCATTGGGTGTACCTTCTGGAGCTCTTGAGAGCATATCAGCTATCACCAGGTCTTTGCCAGGCACGTGAGAAATAGAGAAATGAAATCGTAACATTCTTATTCTGAACCTTTGTACTCTAACTGGTAGCTCTTCCAGTCTTTTAGTACTAAACAGAGGAACTAGGGGTTTGTGATCTGTCTGGATAGAAAATTGAATACCAATGAGAAAATCTGAGAAACGCTCACAAGCCCATGTGAAAGCAAGAGCTTCTTTCTCTATTTGAGCGTATCTCTCCTCAGTTGCTGATAATGATCGTGAAATATATGCTACAGGTTCGACATCCCCATTCTTCTGTTCTTGAAGTAGCACTGCTCCTAGCCCAAAACTAGAAGCATCAGCTGACACGATTGTTTTAGCATTTGAACTATATAAGGCTAGGGCTGGTGTACAAAGAAGTGATGCTAGCTTGACTGCATCAAAAGCTTCCTGCTGTGGTTCCTCCCAAGTCCATTGACGGTTCTTATGCAGGAGCTCTCTCATAGATTTGGTTCTCTCTGCTAGATTGGGTATGAATTTACTTAACTGGTTCACCATACCTAAGAACCGGCGTACTTCTCCCACAGTTTGAGGGGTTGGGACATTCTTGATAGCAGAAACTTTTCTTGGGTCTGGATGGACTCCTGTATTATCAATAACTTGCCCTAAGAATGAAATAGTTGTTTTTGAAAACTCACATTTTTCTTTATTTAATGTTAGACCAGCTTTCTCTATCCTTGTCAGTGCTTCTGTGAGATTGTAGTCATGCTCCTTTTGGTCTTTACCAAATACTAGGACATCATCCATCATACTCACAGTACCTTTAATGCCACTGAGTAACTCAGCCATCCTTCTCTGGAAGTGTTCAGGAGCAGATGTTATACCAAAGGGCAATCTATGAAACTGATACCTTCCAAAGGGTGTGATAAAAGTGGTAAGTATTGCTGATTCAGGTGCTAGTGGGATCTGCCAGAAGCCAGAATTAGCATCTAACTTGGAAAAAACTTTGGCACCTGTCAGTTGTGCCAGTACTTGCTCTACAGCTGGTAGCTGGTGGCGCTCTCTCTGCACACTCTGATTGAGGTGGGTGAGGTCAACACAGATACGTACCGTACCATTTTTCTTCCGAACAGGGACCATCCCAGCACACCATTCTGTTGGCTCTTTGATTTGGGAAATCACCCCTAATCTAGCCATTCTATCTAATTCGTCCTTCACTGGCTTTAGCAATGGTATCGGAATTCTCCTTGGAGTTGAGAGAGAGAAGGGTCTTGCTCCTTCCTTCAAGCGTATTTTTTAGTCACCCTCTAGTTTTCCGAGACCTACAAAAAGATGGGGAAAATTATTAACAATAGACTGGCCTGAATGCTCCACAGAACCAATTCAAGCTAGTACGTGTAGCTTCTCTATAGCTGGTCTGCCCAGTAATGGTCTGTGTAAGTTCCTTACAACATATATTGCTTGCTTGACCAAGTAATCACCTTTCTGTAAGTGACCTTCAAAAAGACCAGGTGAGTCTAGACGTTTGTCGTTTGGTCCCTTTAGCTCTTTGTCAAGTGGTTGTAGTGCTGGACTACCAATCAACCGATGTATGCGTTCCGAGACAGCCGTAACTTCAGCTCCAGTGTCTATGCAAAACTCTATGTTGCTCCCATTCACTTGTACCTCTACAGTCCAAGGTTTACTTTGAGTTTCTGTCACGAGTCCTAAGAATATTCCATCATCCTTTTCTGACTCTTTGTGTATGTCTGAAACTTTCGCTGACTTACACACTCTCTGATAGTGTCCCCGTTTATTACATCCTCTACAGACACTGTCCCTCGCTGGGCAGCTTTTAAATTCATGATTTGGGCTGAGCCCACAACGAGAACACTTCGATTGCTGTGGAGGTTTCTTGGTTTGTAGGGCGCTACTTCTCTTTCGATTCACAAATTTCTTTCTCTTCTCTACACTGTCCACTGGCAGTTGCTTCTCCTCATCTTTTCGAATGTCCCTCTGCTGTTGCTGTACTGACTCTGATTGACGTACAGCAGTTATAGCTGAATCCAATGTCAGCCTTGAGTCAAGCTGAAGCCTCTCAGACAACTTAGAATCACGCAATCCAACGACTAATCTGTCTCTAATCATCTCTTCTTGTAAGGCTGCATACTCACAGTGCTCCACCAAAATATAAAGGTCATTAATAAAAGCGGCTACAGTCTCTCCTTCCTCCTGCTTCCTCATATTAAACTTTGCTCTCTCATAAATAACATTTCTCCGTTTGACAAAAAACCCTTCAAACTTTCCTCTGACAGTAGCATAATTCTTCGCTTCTGCGTTGGTAAGTTTAAACGATCGGAGAAGATCATCCGCCTCGTCTCCCATAGAGTATATAAGCGTATTGACCTGCATCTCTTCACTCTTCTCAGCAAGTCCAGATGCAACTCTGAAGCGTTTGAACCTTCAAATCCACTTAGGCCATTCCTCTGGCTTTCTGAATGGAAACGGGTCGGGAGGAGTAACTTGATAAGAGGCTGTAGCCATCACAGTCGGCGCTACAGTCAGCCGTAGAAAGTGGAATAACAAGCTCAACAATGGTCAGTAGTGTTACTGGCCACCGCTGCCACCATGTAATGTTCTCACACTGTAGTAATAACCAAGATTCAGTCGATCACATGTATCATAAGATTCAAAGCAATACCGGAATAATAATACAAAAAACTCTAAATCAGTGTTACTGTAAACTCATAATTATTAATCACAATAATTATTAATGATAATACAATACACAATAACTAACTCCAGTACAACTACCTTTAATTATCACTGGCTGGACCTTTTTCTGTTATAAAGTTGACAAAGACCTCGGATACGGAAGATATCAACCTAGATTGAGGATGATGAAGAATAACTAGAACCAAGAAGGCTATAGACAGATGTAGCAGTAAGTTTCCAGTAGCAAGGTCTGCTAGTTGAATACCAGCTTCTCTAGAGGACCTTATCTGTTTGATTTTATTTTATAAATAAAAAAACATTAATAGTAATGAAATGCAAATAATATTCACGAGTGTGACGTAGCCTACACGTAATGATTCATCATGGCGGCTCCCTTTGAACTAGAGTGGAAGAACCCATTCAGAACCTTCCAGAGTACCTAGAGACTCAAAAATTGGTACAGATTTTCGGAAGAACCCGTTTTGCAAGTATACTAAATTTTAGGTTGCTAGCATTAGTGATTAAAAAGTTATAAGGGGTGGTACTTGGGCAACTCAACTTGAACTGACTATTAGTAACGCGGTAGCGTTACTAAGTAGGATTCACCCCCAAACAAAATGGCTGCCACGACTTTTGCAGCCTAGCTATACCGGGAAAACGAGCTCCTATGCTTACCAGACTTTTTAGAGGATATTAATTGTGATTACACACTGAATTCATGGTTTTGATAACGCATTGTCACTATCATAACAAAAAACCATTTCAGTACTGGTACACTACACCAGACTCCTTTACTTTTTTACTTTGGGGTGCCCCAACGTCTATGTGATACTACACCACTCCGGCTTTGCCCTTAGGTTCCATTAAAATTATGTGTAACCTATATCATTTTACATTTATTTATTAGGTAGTGACAGATATGGCTCTTCTGAAAAAAATTTCCACTTAGCTAGCAAACTGCATGACCTGCAAGATGATTTTGATGAGGCAATTCGAATAACAAAGAAGTCCTTCAAATCAACCAATTTACCTAAAATCATTGACTACCTCAGTACACATGTAAATTCATTACTTGGTCGTCAAAAGAGAGAGCAAACAACTGCAGAAGCTGTTAGAGAAGAATTTCAACATATAACAACCATGCAAAAATTATTTTCTGTACTACAAGACAAATATATATCTTGGTTTAACTATAAACTAATAATAAAACTTGTCAGAATATTTCTACCCAAAAATCGTTCATTAAAAAGAACATGGTCAGAATATGAAGAGAAGTTAAAGGATTATTTTATAAACAGTGGTGGACTATTGAAAGATGCTGATGCTGTACAGTTTGGTGTAAAAGGTGTTCCTCCTGGTACACGAGTAATGATTGCTAAAGTTGACAGAGATGACTACACACTGGATGACATATTCTTCTTTCGTAGAGCAATACCAAAAAGTTTGGATGTTCCTGAATATGATCTTTACTTCAGTTTTGTCCGCATTGGTTCCCTCTGTTTGGGTTACCTAATTCCTGAGTATCTTTATTTTTTATTGTTTCCTCTAACTGCAAATCAGCAGGGACAGTTAGCTAGTATTGGTATCACTGAACTGATATGTGGTAAATATATTTATGATTTAAAAGAGGTTAGATGATTAACATTAAATTTATAATAATAATTATTATTAAAGGTATCATCATTGCACAAGTCTCAGTATTCATCTTCTATTGTGGGTAAGTTAATTTTTTTCAAAATTAGCTAAAATTTATATTTTATTGTGACTTCTATTATAGATATATATGATCCATTATGGTATGAGAATACCAGTACACCATTACATGAAGCAGCTTGGAGAGGATTAAAAGATGAAGTACAATGGCTTCTCAATAAGTTTGGTTACAGCACATATTATCGTGGTCTTCATGGTTGGACTCCACTACACTCTGCATCATATGGTGGGCACATTGAGATCCTTCAACTACTCATCCATCAATATGGTATTGATCCTAATGAAGGTGATGATAATAGTGTATCTAGTATACATATGGCATCTTATAAAGGCCACTTATCTATAGTACAATATCTAGTAGACACGTGTCACGTTCCTCCTGATCAACCAGACAGTGGCAATAACTCTGCATTACTGTACTCAGCAACGGGGGGCCATTCTGACCTAGTGGAATTCTTTATTAAGAGGAATTGCAATCATCTCTCACAGGATACTAGTAATGGTGCATCTCTTTCATTATTAGCTTGTAAAAGCGGACAGCTAGTTTTAGTTCGTAAACTTGAAACTTTAAACCTGTTTTCACCTATTTCAATAGACTTTAGGGGATCAACTATCTTACATTATTCATGCATGTCAGATAGTGTTGATCTTTTAAAGTATCTTTTAAATCAATATCAATTATCCATTGATATAAAGGATCGATATGGTAGGACTCCACTTCATTATGCTTTATGGTTTGCTTCATCATCAGTTGTTGAGTATATTCTTAGTATTCAAGGTAATGAAGCATTATTAGATAATGATATTGATGGCTATTCATGTCTACAATCTGCAAGCGATGCCTATATGAATATTGAAGCTATTGGTATTGCATGCAGTAAGCTTTTTGTACAACGTGATGCAGCAACTATTACAGCTATTCATAATACTAGAGTAAAATGTAATATTGACTGCCACATATTCAAGCAAAGAGCTAAATTTCTTTTATTAACTCTGAAGAAAGCTGAAACTTGTGCTAACTTTGACATAAATGCTACTGATGGTGACTTGTCAACGTCATTACATTCAGCATCAAGTAGTGGTAATGTGTTATTAGTGAAAGTATTAGAACAATATGGCATCAATTCTTCATTGGATAGAGAAGGAGCATCTCCAGTACATTATGCTGCCAGGTCAGGTTCTACTAGTTTATTAAGTTATATCATATCTCAGTATAATCTCAATGCTAATGATACTGATACTAATGGTTGTACACCATTAGCCTACTCCTGCTGGTCAGGTAGTATTAATTCTGTTAAATATCTTATTAATAATCATAACAGTGATCCTAATATCACTGATAAGTATGGCATGGCATGTCTTCATCATTCTTGTCATCATGGTCATATTGATATCACTCAATATCTCATTGAGGTACAGCATTGTGATATTAATAAAACAGATAATGAAGGATGCACGTTAGTACATCATGCTGCACAGAGTGGTAACTTTGAATTAGTTCTGTATCTTATTACTGAACAAGGTTTTTCTCCTACTGCAGTTACTAAGAATGGCCTCACTGCTTTACACTATGCCTCACTGTCTCTTAACTTATGTCTTGTTAAAGAATTAATAGCTACCTATCAGTTAGATCCTCATCAAGCTGACAGTAATGGTAAGCTACCAATTCACTATGCTGCTGAATCTGGAGATATTTTACTACTGGAATTATACGTGAAGGGTTACAAGTGTAATTTGAGCATAACAGATAACAATGGTTGGAGTATTATTCATTTTTCAGCATTCAATGGGCATACTCATTTTATCAAGCACATCATCAATCAGTATCCTCAACTCATCACTTTCCTACAAACAACAGATAGTATGAGTACACTAATATTACATTTAGCCTGTCAGAGTGGTAATGTCCAATTAGTGACTTATCTAGCAGATGACATGAAATGTGATGTGACTGCTATTGATACAAATGGTAGTAGTTGTGTCATGTTTGCCTGTTTTTCAGGCAATCTTAATCTGATAGCATTACTGATACATAAATATAAGCTTGAGCCTATCAATATTAATGACACTGGTTTTTCAGTATTACATGCAGCAGCACAGACTGGTCATACTCATATACTGGAATGGTACAGTCAGAAGTATAGTATGGATATTACTAATCACACCAACAATAACAAGTACACACTAGCTCATTTATCTGCTTACGAAGGTAAGCTACATTGTCTACAGGAACTGATCAACAAGTATCAGTGTGATGTTAATGCCACTACTACTGATACTGGTAGTACAGTTCTTCATAGAGCATGTGAAGGAGGTCATGTTCCTGTTGTACTTTGCCTTACTAGTCTTCCTCAGTGTAATGTAACAGCTAAGACTTCTGATGGATCCACAGTTCTTCACATTACCTGTGGGTACAGTGGGTCCCTTCCTATACTAAAACACCTGATAGAAAATCTTCATTTAGATTTGCTTGCAGTGAATAATATTGATATGGCTCCTATTCACACAGCATGCAGCTTTGGAAAATTAAACTTGGTCCAGTTTATTTTAGAGCACACACCAGCGTTACTTGAACTACCTGTCAGAGGACGTGGCCATACTCCATTTCTTGTCTCTGTGTTCTTCAATCAGACAGAAGTTATTGAATATCTTATTAGTAAGAAGTGTAATCTAACAGCTACTGATAATCAAGGTTCAGGAGCACTTCACATAGCAACGGAGTGGGGTCACTTGAATGTCTTGAAGTATCTCATTGATAATAGCTACTGTAATCCTAATGTAACTGATCATCGAGACTGTTCACCACTTCATATAGCTATACTAGCTAATCAACTTGATGCATTAGAATATTTACTGAGCAAAAGTATACCCTCAATGAGTGTTGTCTGGCTACATGAGATAAAGTGTTTATTAGACAGTCCTCATGACATATACAACAATCCACATAATGCTGTACTTATTAATGTACAAGATAAAGATGGTAATACACCATTGCATCTTGCTTGTAGGAAAGGACAACAGAAGATGGTGTCACTATTAATAAAGGCCAATCTATTTCACAATCTTTTAATCACAAACAAGAAAGGACAGACACCATTGCACTTAGCAGCTGCCTATACTGCTGAAACTTTTTTCTCAGTCACTGGTAGTTCTACTCATCATGATCTCCTTACAGCTACTGATAATGAAGGATCCACTGTATTTCATACAGCTTGCAGTAATGGCCATATTGATGTGTTTCGTTATTTATCCAGTATTTATCCTCAAGGTGTTAATATAATGGATAATAGAAGACGTGGTTTACTTCATGCAGCATGTGAGGGAGGAGATATTGGAATAGTAAGAACACTAATTGAGACACATGGACTGGATCCTTTAGCAGAAGATGAAGATGGCATCACCTGCTTACACTTACTAGCAGAGAGAAAGAGAGTTTATATATACCAGTATTTGGAACCAAACATTGTCTCTAATCCAGTACCTAAGGACAAGTCTGGTCGTACTCCTCTTCATTATGCTTCTCGTTCTGATAATATTCGTATGGTACGTTATCTCATAGAGACCTTCCCCTGTACTCCTGATGATCCTGATAATAATGGATACACTTCAGTTCATGGAGCATGTGAAGCTGGTAGTATGGAGTTAGTACAATACTTTCTAACTGATCTCAAATGTAATGCACTAGCTGAAACTGATCAACAAAAAACTCTACTTTATTTTGCCAGTATAAGTTGTAATTTAGAGCTTTGTTGGTTTTTAGTTAATGCATTCAGTTTAAAACCTCGCCCACATGATATTGAAATAGCTCAATCAGTTATTCCTGATTCATCAGTTGTTAAATATCTTCAAAAGATTAATGAGGATATGATATTTGGTATGATGGAGGAACAAAAAAAATTAAGGGAAACTTACCATGAGAAACTTGAACAACAACAACAACAACAGACTGGCACACAAAAGAAAGATATCATATCTTAAACACTCGATATGTATCACCATTACTGCTGTGACCGAAACGCATGAAAGGCAACCACGGCAAAACTCTCAGAAGTATATTTCAGAATTTGGATGACACTGAATAGAGCTTTTACAGAACTGATAACAGATTAAAAGCATGCACTTATATAAACAGTTACTGACTACATAACAGAACATAAACAAAATTAACACGTAGTTACATCATCATTGCATAATCATAAATCATAATAATAACGAAGAACTGAAAAACCTAGCAGTAAAGAAGTAATAATAATAGAAATAATAGTCACAAAATAATAATAATAACTATAATAATAAGGTACTAGAGGTACTAGGAGCAGATTGAGACCAATGTTAATTGAAGATGATGCTCCTATTAACCCTTCTATCCTTAATTTTTAACTTATTTCATATAAATTTAATATTTAAATTTTAACTTATTATAAATTATTTTGTGACTGCTACTGCTGTTCTTCCATTTGTTCAATAATAATGATGGTATAACTATAATAATTATTATTATACTAATACAATGAAAGTAATAATTCTAACAATATAACAATTACATATATTGCACCACTTTGCCACCCTCACCACTGTGGTACTGGTACCATCATCACCATTACAATGGTTACCAATATCATTATACCAATCCTACATATATATCTTATCACCATGAATATTACTATCTTGCCATCATATCAACCTATTATCATCACCTATTCTACCACCTTGCCACCATCTAACTACCTTACACCACTTTAGTACCATCATCACCATTACACCATATACCCACAATGGTTACCAATATCACCAATCCTATACCAGACCATTCCCCAGCCTACAGTCATTGGGCTATATTGTATCACCATTGTACTATTACACCATACACCAATGGCTATCAATATCACCTATACAATACTTGTGTAATATCTTAACTTGATTCACCATTAATCTTAGCACCTTTATACTAAGGCTACATTTACACAGCAACGCAAAACGCATCGTTTTTAAAGTATCCACTTTGAACACCGTTTTCGTTTTCATAGAATTCTATCAAGATTGTATCACGTTTTCATTCGTTTCTGTGTAAACGGAAGCATAAAACAGGCAAAAAACTATACGGATCACATCGTTTTCGTTGCTGTGTAAACATGGCCTACGTTTGACATTTAACCACCATTGTCATCTTATCATTACCATGTACACCAAATACCTAGTACCATCTTATTACTAACGTACCCATGGCCACCTTCCTCAATTACATCGTACCACCTTATTACCATCGTACCATTGTCCTACCTTGTGTCATTATACATGTACCATGAACCATTGTATTGCTATGATACCATTACACCTTATAATAGCCATGAATCCAATGGTCTTGTACTCATACACTTTTATCACTATTAATATTTTTTTAGCATTAGTAATTGTTTGTCTAACCGATGTTTTTAATAATAATAATTTTTATTTATTAATAATATTATTTTTAAAAATTATTTTTATATTTTAATAATTTTTATATATACTTTTATTATACAAGTTAAATATCCATGCGTCTTCTTTAGTTCTCCAGGTACACCATCAGACAGTGTCAATTGTTTAGCTAGAGTTTGTCCATTTAATTCTATAGTAACACAATACAATAAATAAATTATTAATTAATACATAAACATATGGTACCTTTGTTCATCCATTGATCTTTATTATAATTATTAATTTCACCATTAGAAAATGGCATGACTTTAACCAGATCAAACTATTTATACTCTATAATATTAAAGCTGGGCTCATTGCAATGTTAGCTGCCCATGCAAAATCCATGATTCAGGATGCATTAGGTCAAATCAGGACTGACATCATTTATGATTTACTCACAAACTAGAAAGGTAATAATAGGAGAAGAATTTATGGAAGAAAAGAAGTAAAGATACATGTAAATTACTGATGTACATACATACAATAAAGTACATACATGTATATGGTACATATAGAAATGGGTAAAAAGAAGGTGTACAAATGTACACGTAAATGTAGAAAAGAAAGGAAAGAAGTGCATGTACATATTGTGTACAATAAAGTTTTTTGTAACTGTCAGGTGTAATATGCATCTGTAAATGCCACACATTATCCAACCAATGTACAACAAGAACACACATATACATGTACGCACACATATACATGTACGTACACAAGTAATGGCTAAGAGTATTGTACAACATAAATGTACATGTTAATCTACACGTAAAATGTATATGAAAATATGCATAACTGTATGATGAATGCATGTTTATCTTACATTGAAAGCACCAGTTTGTGGATCCCAACCAACATGAGCCAAATGCCTATTGAAATAAAACAAGTATAACAATCAGTGAATGATGGGGTGTGCGTCATTTGATACATGGGCACAGCCTTCAGTACATGTATGTACATGTACACAATATAATTGAGCAAGTGATTGAGTGACAATAAAAAACAAAATAATATCAACAGTACACATACAAGTACATGTAACTTCTTCCTTCACTTCTTTAATTTACATGTACTGTACATGTACATGTACATGTACATGTACATTTCCCTCCTTTCATGTTTTTACCTGAATTCAGTTGGTAATCCAATGCCTGCTTTAGTCAATTTCTTTCCTCCTTTTGGTTTGTTTAGTTTCCCTTTATCAGAGCCATCAACCCCAAGACTGTATGGATCCTTATTAGCCACAGGACCAGGGGCAACAGTGTTGACTGGTTTCTTAGGCTCAGAAGGAGGCTTCCTCTTCATGGCTAGAAGAATAGAAAAGTCACAAATGACATAAATAACAAGGAAGAATAAGTAAGATACGGAAAGAGACAGAAGGAAAGGAGTACAGGTCTATGCTTAAGGTCTAAAGAGCTTACTTGCTCTTCGTGCATAAGTGATTTTGCTTTCAACAGCAGCACAGAACTTCTCAGCTTCTTCTTCACTGGCAAAGTTGAGACCAACCATGAAATCCTGAGAAAAGAAGAGGGATCAAGTACAATAATTGGAACATGAGAAAGAGAATAATTAATGAATGTATACAGTACATGTATAACAGAGACAACTCACATGTCCAGGGAATGAGTGAAAGTAAGGACGATCTTTTGAATAGCAAAACTCATCATACAGCTCTTGCTCAAAAGCCACAGAACGGTTCTACACAAACACGTATAAATAAAAATCAATATCACACACACACACACACACACGTACATGTACGATAAAAATAATACCACCTGTAGGCTGTAACATTATACAATATACATGTACACAAAAGGGTATCACAATACACACTGAACTTTAAATACATGTATGCATACACTGTACATGTACATTAATATACATGTAATTGATATTATACACGTACCTTTAGATCAATGAGCCGGATGAAATAAGATTTTTGAATATTATCTTTCACAAAGCAAACAACACCTGTACTAATCTTCTGCCACTTGTTTGGATTTGGATGAGCATGATACATCTGAACCACAGCAGTAGCTCTGGTCTGAGAGGGGGAGGGGAGAATAAAAAAAGAAGAATAATACAAAAAATGTAAAAGAACAAGAAATGAGAATAGGAAAGGCAATAAAGATCAAGTGAAGGAAAATTCAAAAGGAAAAAAGAAAGGCAAGTATAAAAGGAAACAACAGGCTCAGAAGAAGAAGAGAGAGCTTTAAAGAAGACTGAGGAATGATACAGTCACTTACCACTCTCCTTGCCCCAAGAATAGTAAAAATGGTTTGGTTCTCCTCATTACTTAGAAGACTTGAGGGCTCGTTCTGTGCAGGAGCATTGGAAGACATAATGGCCAAGAGAGGCTCGAAGAGAGGATGAAGAAAGAGAGAGAGAGAGACCGCAAAACAGTAACACTGTCACTGACAGCACAGTGAGAGATAATGATCAAGCTTATGGGCGGGGTCAAGTCAAACCACACCCTCTTCAATGTGGCAACATTACTGGCATGTCGAGCCATCGATCAATCATAGAATGCTGTAAATACTAAAAAGGAAGCAGTCTCGTAGACCAGACCCCTAAGCTCTGAGACTAAGTAGAGACGAAGGAAGTTACCTAGCATTAGCTGATGAATGAAGTATACACCTTGCTTGTGTTGTGAGCTGAAGGAACGCCACTTCAGTAGTACTGCAAGACTGAGGAGCTACTCCTCATCCTCAATCAGCTACCCTACCTGCAGGTGCAGGATCAAGTAATAAAAGTGGATATAGTTCAAAAGGTAAACACTTATCATACTGGATGCTTTTTAGTCTTGCATAGCCTGGATGATAGCCAGACTCCTCCACTTTTTGATATTTGGGTGTCACCCACCCAATCCGGCATCCATTGATCAATACCGTATAGCTGGAAATTTTTGTGGCCCCAAAATTTTGCGGATTCGTTCAGAAATCAATTTCGTGGCTTTAATTTTTGTGTTTTTTTACTTTTCGGCCATCTTGAACCGTATTAAATCATTTTTCGCAAATTTCATTTTCGTGGATTTTGAAAAACGCAAAATCCATGAAAATTATGGGCCACGAAAATTTTCCGCTATGCAGTATTATAAAAAAGGGATCAATCTGGCTATGTGAATCTAGGGGGATTTGGTGTTCTAATTGCAGTTCACTAAAATACCTGCCAATCACTAAAAATCTCTTTCTAATAAAGGATGTGCATTCTAACATAGATACCAGTATATTCATAACTTTTAAGTACTGTATATCTAGCCCACACAGAAACCATCTTGCCTTGCTACCTTCTTGAGGCCCTTTTCAGAAGTTTAGAAAGCATTTTGAGGATCTATTGGGGTCTAGCAGTCACCTGAAAAATTGCTATGAATTAATACAGAGTGATTTCCTTGAACCAAGGCTTTTTCTATTATGTCTCCATTGTTGTCATTAGCAAACTGATGTCCAATGAATTAAATTTTTTCTTGAAAGTAGAAAATTTCTTGGAGTTAAACTTTGGCAAATTAAGGTCCATTCGCCAAATTTTTAGTCTCCAATTTGATTAAGGTTCCATAGAATCATACACTGAGTTAAAATTTTACCAAAATTTTAACCTCCAATCCTCTTTTAGAGTCATTTCGCCAAATTTTAACGCTCCGAATTTTCTAGCTATACAGTATTAGGGCCATTCATGGCATCAAAGCTATTTTGTCCAATACATCTATGCCTTCTTCAAAGTGTGTATTCATGATCTGGTGCAAAAGAGATTATATAACAGTTAATCCATGAGGCAATGTGTTTATCAGCATAAGCTTCTAGTCGATTCACTAAAGAGGTGCACAAGGCTGAAGATCGAGTATACTTTTAGCATGAAATTGAATGTGACTTACCCATGTAAAAGTCAATGCCACATTTATTAATAGGTTTAACATTAGTTGCCGCAAAGATTTGCACTTAGTCAAAATGGCTGATGGACCTGAGTTTCTCACAAAGCATGCTAAGTGAACTAAAAAGCATGCTTCATAAGGTGACAAGCTATAGTAGTACATGTATATGTAGATGTACACCCGTATGTGTATAGGGAGCAACTTTTAAAAATCCAAATTTAATCAGAATCAGCTGAAACCTCCAACACAGCAAAGAACATTGTACATGTATATGTATCAGAAAAAAAAAAAGAATTCTTGTAGAGCCATTTTTCACAAAATATTTTTGAGTAACTTTATGAATTTATTTTAAAAATTTAATTTTGATTGGTATCATTTTATGTGTCAAAAGGTTGTAGTCTTTAGATGCATGATAGCTGTAATTACATTTTTAATCACTCCACCTTGTGAATAGCATTTTCATTGTCTTTCAATTGAGTGCAACTTAGCATCTAATATTCCTATTCTGAATGAAACAATATGAATGCGCATCCACCACTGACCAGTCACTCCACCTTAATTATGAATTACATTTTCATTGTAATGTAATGCGATACACACAATCACCCCACTTTGTGAATATTGTGATTTAGTACAATATAATTACATAACACCACAATTAGAGTGCATTTTTGCAAAATTAAGCATGAAGTCTATTCTGTTTTTTGCTTTCCTTTTTTCATTTCAGTAAATAGTATCACACTAACATCTCAATGATTTTATATCTCTTTCAGCTTTAGGGCTAACAAAAAATATTAGTGCTTTTGGAAGTAATTTTTCTGTGGGATTCTATGAGCACATTAGTGGAGCACAGTCAATCACATTGTACATCACACTCGTAAGCCATCTCCAGTTTCCTTCAGCATCACTACCCTTGATGGAGGCTTTACTTACAGTGGGACAACTACCAGTAACAACCCTGGAGTCGTTGCCGTCCCTAACACCTATGATGAAGTGTATGACCGCACCTACTCTTCGAGGAGAAAGGGACTCAAAATATCAACATCTGCAACAGAGTCTGTATCTGTTGTGGCCTGGAGTTATTGAGACTCTACAGCTTACATGTCCTATCTTGCTCTTCCATGTCACTCACAGCTGACTAGTGAATATACTTACTATGTTGTTTCCACAACAGGTTGGTCCGATCAGCCCAGTCAGTTCCTGATAGTCGGTTGCTCTGACAACAGCAGTGTGACCATAGTTCCTTCAAACAGCATCACTGTCCCTTCAGATCCACAGCTCAGTGGTGCTTCTAATATATTAGTCACTGCAGGCCAGTCATACAACTTTGTCCTCCATTCCTTGCAAACCCTGTTTGTATTTGAACTTTATATGGACCTCACTGGTACTAGAATATTGCACAGGTTAGTTTAATGTTCTACAAGCTAAAAAAACAAAGTCTTTAAACAGATATTGATGAATGTAACTTTGAAAGTAATGGATGTAGTCAATTATGCACTAACAGTCTGGGTAGCTACTCCTGTAGTTGTCATACCGGATTTGCTCTTTCTTCTGACATGTTTAACTGCACAGATCAGTTTAAATATAAAAATTATTAAAAATTATCTTTTAATTTTCAGATATTGATGAGTGTGAGTATGACAATGGTGGCTGTTCCCATTTATGTGTTAATACTTTTGGAAGTTATCAGTGTCAATGCTACAGTGGATATCAATCTGATGATAATAACTGTATTGGTATGTTCAAGCCAATTACATGTGCTATAATTGCATGTTCATTTATAGAAATCAATGAATGCCTTGCTGAAAATGGGGGTTGTGAGCAAGTATGTACTAATACAAATGGAAGTTTTGAGTGTTCTTGTTATTCTGGTTACTTTGGTAGTGTGTTTTGTTCAGGTATTTCATTGTACATAAGTTTAACTTTGAATTGATCATGCAGATATTAATGAGTGTGATCTGAATGCTTCTGGTTGTAATCAAACTTGTATTAATACTGTTGGTAGCTACTACTGTGATTGTGAAACAGGGTACTACTTGAATAATGACGGTCACACATGCTTAGGTTAGTTTTTTAGAGTATATTTAATTTTACTTATTACTTCAGATGTTGATGAATGCTCTACTGGCATTGCTTATTGTGATCAGGTTTGTACAAATGACCATGGCTCATTTCATTGTGGATGCAACAGTGGATTTACATTGAGTTCTAATGGCATTGTTTGCGAAGGCATGTGCATGTATTTTCATAATAAGTATAATATATATATATATGTTGCGCTTTCTAATTTAGACATTAATGAATGTATAACAAATGATTCTAACTGTGAACAAACTTGCTTAAACACTATTGGATCATATTATTGTCAGTGTGTTTCTGGATTTAGACTGAACACTACAACAAATGCTACTTGTTATGGTAAGTAGTTCTGAAGCATAATTATAATTCACTTTACAATTATTTTAAAGATATTGATGAATGCAATGAGGGAATTTCTGGATGTGATGACATTTGTATAAATTCCGTTGGTAGCTACTCGTGTAGCTGTCATAATGGATATAAATTGAATCCAGATAATCGCACTTGCATTGATATTGATGAATGCACTGATAACAATGGTGGCTGTGCACATATTTGCCAGAATACTAATGGTAGCTATGCATGTTCGTGTCTTGCTGGATTTATTCTTAATGACCATGACTGTGTTGGTTAGTTTGATTTGATAGTAATATTAATAATCATGGCTTTGTTAAAGATATTAATGAATGCAGTGCTAATAGTGGTTGTGCACACTTTTGCAACAACACCATTGGTTCGTATGTTTGCTCTTGTAACACTGGATATTATCTAGATATTGATGGACACAATTGTTCAGGTTAACTATAAATTTTGTCTTGCAACTATTTTGTTTACGTAAACAGATATTAATGAATGTACTGATAATAATGGTGGCTGCTATCACTCGTGTATCAATACTGTTGGTAGCTATCAGTGTCAATGCTATGATGGATATCAACTTGATAATAATTCACCAAACTGTATAGGTAAACTGGCATATTGCTATTGTATTGTGTTTATTCCTTTAATATAGATATTGATGAATGTTCCATCAGTAATGGTGGATGCCAACAAGAGTGTAAAAATACGAATGGAAGTTTTGTATGTTCGTGCTATCCTGGTTATGTTGGCAGTGTTTCTTGTACAGGTAAATTATTTTCCAATTATTCTACTATTTATGTTTGTGTTATTTGGTTGTTTTAGACATTAATGAATGTATAACAAATGATAATAACTGTGAACAGACATGCTTAAACACTATTGGATCATATTATTGTCAGTGTGATTCTGGATTTAAATTGAATGCTACAACAAATGCTACTTGTTATGGTAAGTAATTTGAGAAATTACGATTGATGTTATAATTCTTCTTTTAAGATATTAATGAATGTGAAGAAGACATTTCTGGATGTGATGACATGTGTATAAATTCTATTGGTAGCTACTCTTGCAGCTGTCATAATGGATATAAATTGAACACTGATAATCACACATGTATTGATATTGATGAGTGCACTGATAACAATGGAGGCTGTGCACACATTTGCCGTAACACAGATGGTAGTTATGTATGTTCATGCAGGGTAGGGTATTCATTAACTAGCAACAATCAAAGCTGTGCTGGTAAGTTAAATTATAATTATAATTGTATTAATTATTATTGTCTATATTTAGACAACAATGAATGTGAATTTGAAAATGGAGGTTGTAATCAGACATGCTCAAATACAGATGGTAGTTTTACGTGCTCTTGTTTAAGTGGCTACACTCTAGAAAATGATGTTCAATGCATAGGTATCAACAGTGTCAATTCAATTTAAAGTTATACTTTATAGATTTTAATGAGTGTTTGCATAACGAAATGTACAAATGTAGTCAAAATTGTGTAAATACACAAGGTAGCTATAGCTGTGTGTGCCTGCCTGGATACTACTTGGGCAGTGATAATCATACTTGTTTTGGTTAGTTCAACTTAATTTATTCAGTGTTCCTAAATTCTACTTAAAGATATTGATGAGTGTAGTCAAGCTAATGGAGGTTGTGATCAGATTTGCATCAATAGAGATGGCTCATTTCGTTGTACATGTCGTGATGGCTATGTGTTAAATAATGATACACGTACATTTACCTGCAAAAGTATGTTCGATTTGAGAAATTAACATCATGATTTTTTTTAATTTTAGTGCAAGGGCTTGCAACTATAAGCAATGGAAATAATGTAAGTGTGTCATGATGTACACTAAGATTTATTTGTTTGTAGCATTTAAACCTTGAATCTGATCAAACTTCTGCATACATTGGAATTCCAGTTGCTATTGTCGTAACAGCAGGTAAATATTTCTCAAGTAAAAACTAACTTTAAATGACTTTTATATTAGTTGTGATCATCATTATTGCTACTGCCTTATTGATTTTGATTCTAAAAAGCAAAAAGAAGGCTCAAGAATATTCAGTGTCGAATTTGGAAGATCACGAACCAAGATTTAATCCCCTGTATTTTTCAAGTGAAAAGGAAGATCTAACGATGGATAAGGAAGCCATTGAAAATGATATCTATGAAACTTGCACATAGTAAATTTAGGTCTATCTTATATCATGTAACTAATAGTATACTTTTGTATTGATTATAGCTACGCTATTATAATAAATGTGTTGTCATTAAATTAATGCTGTACTTTACAAACTGTATTGCTTTATTTTTGTTGTGGTAAAAGCAATACAATAGTAAAATAAAGTTTACAGTTAGTTTAATCATTCATAGATAACCAGACTTAACCATTGATAACTGCAACTATCAGGCAAAGATTAATTAACCATAAATAAGTGTTAGGGCAAGCCAATCTGTATGCCCAACAAACCATGCTCTGACAAAATGTTTTATATAGTACACATGTATTCGGTGGTAGGTAACTTGTTATTTTCAATTTTTAACATTTTCTAATACATATTGATGTTCTTAAGCTATTCCATTTATTATTTGGAATAGCTTAAGGACATCAATATGTATGGACATTTTTAAAAATTCTAAAAATACCATGCTTTTTTCAAAAAATGCTTAGATTTCACTCCCAAATTTTATTACACTTTCTGATGCATACACATTATAATGTAGAGACTAGATTTAATGATTCTAACAAATAATTGTCAAGTTATGGCCATTTTAAAAAGCAGCAAATTTTCAGAATAAGCAATCAATTGACTGCCACAAATTTAGACAAGAGCTCTTCTTAACACTGAAGAAAGCTAAGCTTGCCCTAACATCACATAGCTATATAATGCTATCTTTGTTATACTAGATTTATACTGTTTGTTGTTACTTTATTACATTTTTTGTGTCACCTGTTGCCATAAATTTTGACCATATAGATTTGTGTTACTTATTAATAGTTTGATTTTAGTAACTTTGAATTAAAACTACAGATTTCAGGAAGACTGTCATTGACCAGTAGTCATAAAACTACATACTATGTAGCTACTCATAAAATTGTCACCGAAAAATATTAACAGTATTTGCACAAATAATGATTATACACTAAAAGCAAGATTATAATCCGATTGAAACCCTCATTACACATACTTTGTCTAACCATAGACACTTTATTACAGTGTCTATGGTCTAACAAAGACAAAACCACATGATCCAACCAATAATGAATTATGGGATCATCATGTAGGTGAGATTGAAATTGACTTTTAAGATTATGAGTTGATGAAATTGTGGACTATGCACAGTAAAATTTATCATAGATTAATGTAGAAGTATAGAAAAATATAGATTACCACCAAGTTGAGTAAATTATTGACTCACAAAAAATAGTTGTTACTACAGGTCGAATTGGGGAGTTAGATATCAGGATACAAGAACTTCTTCTATATTTTAGTAGATATCTTCAATAAGGTCAAGCCAGAGTCCAGTCATTTTTGTGAAAGATTGGATTAAGTGCAACAGAATCTCAGTAGCCTATGCCCTCATTCATTCCAGGTTTTCCAGCAGCATAGATGCATCACATTAGTACATTTTTATAATTATAAATATTCCAGTTTAATAAAGTCTATGAAACTGTCACCACTTTAACAATAATATCATCATGCCGTGTAATTACAAGACAATTTTAACCAAATCTGTCTGATACGTAATTTTATATGTACATGTACTTATGTTGAATATTGAATTCTTTACAAGTTTTTTAAGTTGCTTAGTTATTAGACCAAAGTCCTGTACAGGGACTTTGGTCAAATTTCGCCAAAAATGAAAAATAGAGATTTCTCCTTTTTTATTCTTCCTTGACATACATGTACTTATGTTGTGGAGAAAGCTTGAGCTTATTCTAATCAAAATTGGATTTTTACAACAAATTGTTTAAGTTGCTTAAAATATTGAACAAAAGTCCCTGTGTTGTAGCACAGGTTTTGGCCAAATTTTGCCAAAAATAAAAAAAGATGTCTCCTTTTTACTACTTCTTTTTGATAAGTGATAACCATACATGCACTTATCATTCATTATGTAGAAGTTTCAGTTCATTCTAATCAAAATTGGATTTTTTACAAGTATTAAGGTGCTCAAAAATCAGGCCAACTATGGTACTTAGTACATATTAATACTATTGTTATTATTTACTTCAGATGTAATGTTCATGGTTCATTTCCTAAAATTATAAGTCAGCCAGTCTACTGTATCATTAGGTAAGTCATGCATTCCATCAGTTTGTAGTAATGGCTTTAATACAGAATGTATATTAGGAATAGAATAAATATATGTAATAATTATACACATAATTAATAATAATAAATTATAATAAATCTAGCCACTGCACACTAGATCTATTATCTAGACTATTAGTCAATAGTCATTGGCCAAACAATAATGAATTATTTGTAATAAACAACTGAAACTTTTACTGTAGTCATCAGCCTATCACCATCCAACAATACTGTACAAGATGATTTATTGGCGAGGAATTAATATTAGCAATTGGCGATTCTATATGATAAAATCTTCAATATAAAGTCTGCCATCTTGTTTCAATTTGAGCATGCTCAATGGCATGTGGCACAAAATTGCCAATATAAAATTCATCAATTAACTTTCCAAAGGCAAATCCAGCAAATACTACTCTCACCAATAAATCATCTTGTACGGTACTATTATCATCTATGCTGAGCAGTGAAGGGTTAAAAGACTTAAACTTAAAATAGAAACCTCTGGCCACTTTTGTTATTAAACTAAGTATGTACCAGGAGCCGAGGACACATCTTTTAGCAACCACAAAACCTTATCAACACAGCTTCCCCTGAAGACATTAATAATAACAATTAATTGCATTTCTATATACTTTTCTTTTGCTGTCACATGACCCAACACTATAATATTATATTCAGTTGATCTTAAAATTAATAATTTACTCTTGATAAAATTAATAAAATAACTTTTAGAGTAACTCGGGGCTATTCATGTAGTATCTATGTTTAAGACTTTCAGCCGCTTTCAACCCATTATTGTCTAGTCATCACTCATCAGTGCTTAATTAGAGTGCTAATGAATTTTTTCTTGGGTGGGGTCATGTTTGTGCGTGGGTGTATACTCTGCCTCAGCAACAATCGAGGTAACAATGGATACAAGCTCTTCTTCCTGTGGCTTTGCTCCTTTTATAAACGTTTGCAATAAAGAACTAAGTAAGTTTATGGGTATATTTGACATTTAACGATTATTTTGTAGGCAAAAAAAATTTCTATGCTGTTTATGATAGAATCAAACCACTTTCAGCTGGCTGGAAGCAGATAGCCATTTCCTGGCATCTTGAACTAGATACAATTAACAGGATAGAAGCTGATTGTCGTGGAGATACTATTGCTTGTCTGCAGAAAGTCATAGAGTTTTGGTTAAGGAAAGATTATGATTATGAATCTCATGGTATTCCTTGCTGGAGGAGAGTGTGTGTAGCTGTTAAAGAAGGAGGAGGTGATCCAGCATTAGCTGATGAAATAGCTCGTGAACATCCTCTACCAGCTACTGTGGGAGTCTCTACTGATGTTATTCATAATGAAGGAATGTCACCTGGTTCAATAGGTATACTATAATTACCAAATTAGAAATGATAGTGAATATATTTTTAGGAAATAGAAGGGATGCAATATCACCTGGAAATGGAAAATCAAATAGTTCAACTGGTAAGTGATTCTCAATTTTTCAAAAAATAATTTTGTGAATCCTTTAACATAAATTCAATTAAAATTCAATTTTGCAGTTTCGAAAAAAATTGGTAAAAAAATAGTTTTCCACAAAATCTTCAATGCTATACCGTAATTCTGTTGTAACAACAGATCAATTAATCATATTCATGAGTCATAATGAAAGTACACAATTATGACTAATTAAAACAATAATGTTGAATTATTTGATTTTGCATATTATTGTACAAAAAATCCACAATAATATGCAAATTAAATGATTGAACAATATTGTTTTAATTAGTCATGATTGTGTACTTTTTCATTTTTTTTCTTGTCCTGTGTAACCATGAATTTTTAAAGAAAAGTTAACTTTTAATTATAACATAATAGAAATTACCAAAATTAGCCCATTAACTATTTTCAAATACCTACAATTAAGTATTTTAATGTGAATTAATAGTTTGACATCAAATTGGTGCTTGCTTTCATTGCATACCAGAGAATAATAAACAAAAATTTATTTTTAGGTACTGACGGATATGGTTATTCTGAAAAGAGTTTCCACTTAGCAAGCAAGCTACATGATTTACAAGATGAATTTGATGAAGCAATTCGAATAACAAAGAAAGCATTTAAGTCAAGTGATTTGCCTAAAATCATTGATTACCTTAATACACATGTTAAGTCATTGCTTGGTCCTAAAAAAATACAACAAACAACAGCTCAAACAGTTAGAGAAGAGTTCAAATGCATAGAAACAATACCAAAACTATTTACTTTACTACAAGACAAATACATATCATGGTTCAACTATAAACTAATGATAAAACTTGTTGGAGTATTTCGATCAAAAAATTGTTCATTAAAACGAACTTGGTCAGCATATGAAGAGAAGTTAAAGGATTATTTTATAAACAGTGGTGGACTATTGAAAGATGCTGATGCTGTACAGTTTGGTGTAAAAGGTGTTCCTCCTGGTACACGAGTAATGATTGCTAAAGTTGACAGAGATGACTACACACTGGATGACATATTCTTCTTTCGTAGAGCAATACCACAAAGTTTAGATATTCCCGAGTATAATCTTTACTTTTGTTTTGTTCACATTGGTTCTCTTTGTTTGGGTTACCTCATTCCTGAGTATGTTTACTCTTTACTATTTCCTCTAACTACAAAGATACAGCAACAGTTAGCTAGCATTGGTATCACTGAACTAACATTTGGTGAAGATATTTATAATTTAAAAGAGGTTAGAATTATAAATCTTATTGAGTTATAATTATATACTTATACAAATGTAGGTTTTATTATTACCAGAATCATTGTTTCCATCTTCTGTTATTGGTAAAATAATAATTAGAAACTTATTAATTTTTAATTTCACTTTATTAGATGTATGTGATCCATTATGGTATGAGAATACCAGTACACCATTACATGAAGCAGCTTGGAGAGGATTAAAAGATGAAGTACATTGGCTTCTTAACAAATTTGGTTACAGCGCATATCATCGTGGTCTTCATGGTTGGACTCCATTACACTCTGCATCATATGGTGGACACATTGAGATCCTTCAACTACTCATCCATCAATATGGTATTGATCCTAATGAAGGTGATGATAATAGTGTATCTAGTATACATATGGCATCTTATAAAGGCCATTTATCTATAGTACAATATCTAGTAGACATGTGTCATGTTCCTCCTGATCAACCAGACAATAGCAATAACACTGCATTACTGTACTCAGCAATGGGGGGCCATTCTGACCTAGTGGAATTTTTTATTGAAAAAAATTGTAATACTTCTCACATTAATTGTGAAAGTGTATCTTTATCCTTGTTAGCTTGTAAAAGTGGAGTGTTGGCATTAGTCCATAAGCTTGAATCATTGAACCTCTTCTCACCGAATTCCTTTGATTTTTGGGGATTCAGCATATTGCATTACTCATCTATGAATAATAATGATAAGCTTTTAAAGTATCTCTTAAATCAATATCAATTATCCATTGATGTAAAGAATCAAAAGGGAAGGACTCCACTTCATATTGCTTCATGGTATGCTTCATCATCAGTTGTTGAGTATATTGTTAGTATTCAAGGTAACGAAGCATTATTAGTTACTGATAATAATGGCAGGTCATGTTTACATTATGCATGTGATGCAGCTATACATATTCCAGCTGGTATTGTGTATAGTAAGCTTAAGGCACAGAGTGATGCATCACTTATTGCTACTATTGATAATACTAAAATAAAACAAAATATTGATTTTATCAAACGGAAGGAAAGAGTTAAAATGTTTTCTTCACTTCTTAAAAAAGCTAGCATTTGTCCTAGCTTTGACATCAATGTCACTTCAAATGATGGCCATTCATTACTTCATTTAGCATCATTCAGTGGCAGACTGGCAGTACATTACTAGTGAAAGCATTAGAAGAATACAATGTCAACTGTACATTAACTAATGATGGTAGGTCTCCAGCACATTATGCTGCCTTGTCAGGTTCTACTAGTTTATTAAGATATATTATATCTCAGTATAATCTCAATGCTAATGATAGTAATGCTTATGGTCGTACACCATTAATCTACTCCTGCTGGTCAGGTAGTATTAATTCTGTTAAATATCTTATCAATAATCATGACAGTGATCCTAATGTCCCTGATAAGTATGGTATGACATGTATTCATTATTCTTGTCGTAATGGTCATATTGATGTCACTCAATATCTCATTGAGGTACAGCATTGTGATATTAATAAAAGAGATAATGAAGGAAAGATTCTAATACATCATGCTGCATGGAGTGGCAACTTTGATTTAGTTCAGTATCTTATTGAAGGTTTGTCTCCTACTGCATTTGATAAGAATGACCGCACTGCTTTACATTATGCCTCAATGTCTCGTAACTTATCTCTTGTTAAAGAATTAATAACTACCCATCAGTTAGATCCTCATCAAGCTGACAGTAATGGTAAGCTACCAATTCACTATGCTGCTGAATCTGGTGATATTTTACTACTGGAATTATACGTGAAGGATTACAAGTGTAGTCTGAGCCTAACAGATAAAAAAGGTTGGAATATATTTCATTTCTCATCTTTAGAAGGCCACATTCACTTTATTAAACATCTGGTAGAAAATTATCAGTTAGATCTGTCTGCTGTGAATGATGAGGGAATGGCTCCTATCCAGCATGCACTTAGCTTGTGTTTAGGGAAGATTGAACTTGATCCAGTACATTTTAGAACACATACCATCATCACTTGAACTACCTGTCAGAGAATTAGAGGAAATGGCCATAATGGATCCATTCCTTACTGCAGTGTACTTCAATCAGTTAGAAGTTATTAAATACCTCACTATTAGTAGCTATCAGCTACTGATGATGAAGGATCTGGAGCAGCTAGTTAACATATCAGTAGAGAGGGGTAATATAAGTAACTGACCATCAGTAGCAATAAACAAGTTCAAATTTATTATTGAGAAATTATACCAAACTTACTTATTCATGTACAAAATAGAGATAGTGACACAACAATACACTTTACTTGTATAAGTGGACACCATAAAATGGTATCACTTCTATCCAGCTCTACTAATAAGAAAGGACAAATACCATTACACTTAGTGGCTGTCTCTGGTCAAACTGTACTGCTCTCACCGGTCACCAGTAGTTGTAGACTCATCATGATCTACTTACAGCTACTGATAATGAAGAATGTACTGTATTTTATACAGCTTGCAGTAATGGACATATTGATATGTTAGTCCAGTAACTATTAAGTATTTATCCTCAAGTTCAAGCGTTAATGTATAAGACATATAGGGAATAGTAAGAACACTAATTGAGACGAATGGACTAGATCCTTTATTAGAGACAAAGATGGCATCACCTGCTTACACTTACTAGCAGAGAGAAAGTGTACTGCACTATTCATACATGAGAATGTTTGAAATAGAAAGAAGCATACCAGTATTTGGAACCAAACACTGTCTCTAATCTAGTACCTAAGAGAAGTCTGGTCATGCTACTCTTCATTATGCTTCTTGTTCTGATAATATTCGTATGGTACGTTATCTCATAGAGACCTTCCCCTGTACTCCTGATGATCCTGATAATAATGGATACACTTCAGTTCATAATGCACGTGAAGCTGGTAGTATGGAGTTAGTACAAACTGATCTCAAACGTAATGCACTAGCTGAAAACCATGCTTTATTTTACTAGTCAGAGTTTTAAATTAGACCTTGCTCAGCGTATTAACTTTAAAACCTCATCCACACAATATTGAAATAGCTCAATCTGTTATTCCTGATTCATGAGTATGATGATATATTTGATACGATAGAGGAAGAAAAGACAATAAAAACTGCAACAGACCAACACACCATTGTTACCAATATACCTATCACCACCTAATTATCATCATACATAACCATTACATACCTATTGTACCACTATGCAATAAGTTACTTCTGTAATAATGTTAGCTTGAATCACCATTAATCTTAACACCTATTAACACCAATAGTTTAATTTTGTCATCTTACCATTACACCATACCACCTTATTACCACTGTACCATTGTCTTACTTATCATCATTATACAATAGACCAACGTATTACCATCATACTGTTATACCTTATAACCATTATACCATATACAGCCATGAATCCAACAGTCTTGTATATACTTATACACTTTATATTGTTAGCATTAGTAATTGTTGTTGTGAATACTATTGTCAAACTGACGTTTTAATAATTATTTTATTGTTTAATAATATAATTTTAAGTAATTGTTATATTTTACTTTTATTATAGCTACATGCTCTAATGTTGTGAGTTGACTCCCACCAAATTGAATTTAAAAAAATAAATTCTGAAGTTGCTCCAACAGCCATGTACACGTACAATGCACGCACATGCATAATTGTATTGCTCATGAGCCACACTTAGCATACAATTATGTACATTGTGTAAAATTTGAACATAGTTGTGATGCTCATCACAGTTTCTGTAACATACATTGCACTTCAATGTTTTTAGTAACTGCAAAATAGTGCATGACATTAGGATTTATGTTATGAACAACACCTACTAGACTATAGGTACAAGTAAACGGGACCTGATTAACTTTTGTATTATTTATTTTCAAGATAAGATTTTCCACCAATTATCACTTGTTTCACTTTATTTGTCCTTGTAGTACCTGTTCCAAACTCCCCTCCTCAATTAATCATAATTACTTGTTCTTTATTTATTTTGTATATCTTTTATCCTGATTTATTTTTCTTATGATTCCTCTTCTCATTTTTGTTTAAGTTTATTATTTTATTTATTTTGTGTGTGTGTTTTTTCACTGGGGGCCAGACCAGTTCTTGGCCTTCCTTCAGGACAACTCTCTTTGTATGCCCTGTTATTACATTTTGTCTTTTAATTTTTGTGTGCGTGTGTTTCTTAAATAAATGCAAAATTACTACTACATAGATCCAAACAAAAAATTACATTTGTGTTAACAAGGCAGACTTTAGAGCAAGATCAGCTATGTAAAGCATAATTAAAATTTTTCAAGCCTTAGCTGTACACAAGGGCCAGTTTATTTTGTAATCGTCTTTTTTATGGCTGAGCAGTTAATTTCACTTATAAGAAATGACACTCATTATTTGAGGGATTTCACCATCTCACTATTGGCTATATTTTGCAATGTACATTTGATAAGATCCTGTCTTATAACACCTCCCAGGGCCAAGAGTACTTAGAATTTTGGATGACACATTAAATCAAAAGTAAAACAAGTTCATATAAAAGATCAAAACTGTAGTAACTTAGAGCTTTAATCTAATTTTAAAGAAATAATTTAATAAAAGTTATAAACCAAGTCCAGACAATAAAACAATAAAAAATTACAGAAAATTACTATTATAGCTATAGTATCTACGAATTACATTAATTTTATTGTAAACTTAATCAATGAAAAATAGTCAATATAGTACCATCTCATTCACTTTAAGCAATTGAAGTAGCCAGTGTCTTCATTATTACTGCATCATTGGCACCTTCATCAAAGCAATCAACGTAACCATCCTTATCATTAGAATCTTCTTGTAAGCAATCAACGTAACCATCATTATCATCGGAATCTTCATGTAAGCAATCAACGTAACCATCCTTATCATTAGAATCTTCTTGTAAGCAATCAACGTAACCATCCTTGTCATTAGAATCTTCATGTAAGCAATCAACATTTCCAGTGTCTTCATTTCTTCTTTTATGAAAATTGCTCTCTTTATTGTTGCCATCATGACTTGTATACACAGTTCCCCTCAAAGCTCTAGTTTTTTTAATTTTTACATATTTTTTGGGAGACATCATCATGGTATTAAACTGATAGACAAGGTCTTCAAAAGATGGTCGTTTCTCAGGCTCTAGTTCCCAACCTAAAAAATTGTTTCATTAAATTGATTAATTAAAAGGTTTAATTAATTAAACAGGTTGATTAATTAATTAGGTTGATTAGTTAAGGTTGATTAATTAGGTTGATTAATTAATTAAGTAATTTGTTTATATTGTTTAATTAAATTTCCCAATAGCCTTTATCACACAATTAAAAGGGTGTGTCACATCCTACATAAGCTGACAACTACTTTGCAATATAGCTTTTACATGATAGAAATCAATATAGCAATTCAATCATCATACTATGTTGTTACATTTAGGCAAAATAGCTATCTTTAAAAAGGTCTGCTACTATTTTATCGTAACTATGCTGCACTTACAATTTTGCAATGATTTGTAAAATACTAGTGTACATGTTTTAGGCTGTTTCAATCTGTCACCTTTCTCCAGCAGTTTCAGCAGCTCAAATACACTTTTGCCCTAAGAATGTGATACATTGTGATAAGATTAAATTCACTGCATGATTATACTTTGAAAGGAGATTCTCCAAATGTTAGTATCTCCCATACTGTTACACCAAAGCTCCAAATGTCAGTTTTGTGTGTGAATATTCTTTGCCGTATACTTTCAGGTGGTAGCCAGCGAACAGGCAGCTACATGTTTATACCTCACAGTTAGTAGTTAATGTAATACTGACTTTTGATCCAGATGCTTCATAATGAGACTCATCAGGTTCAATGAACCGTGTTAGTCCAAAATCAGTGATAAGAACTTTAAGATGGCTTTGAACAAGGGCATTACGAGCAGCTAAATCTCTATGTACAAGAC